GCCACAAGGGCCCATTGCTGGCTCATGGGCATCCTATTGTCCACCAGGACTCCCAGGTCTTTGTTCTCAGAGCTGCTCTCCAGCAGGTCACCCCCAACCTGTCCTGGTGCAGGGGGTTATTCCTCCCCAGGTGCAGCACCCTGCACTTGCCCTGGTTGAATTCCATCAGGTTCCTCTCTGCCCAACTCTCCAGCCTGTCCAGGTCTGGCTGGATGGCAGCACAGCCTTCTGGGGTGTCAGCCACCCCTCCCAGTGTTGTGGCATCAGCAAACTTGCTGATGACATTCCATCCCTTCATCCAGGTCATTGATGAATATATTGAAGAGGTCTGGAGACAGCACTGACCCCTGGGGAACACCACTTGCTATGGATCTCCAACTAGACTCTGTGCCACATTTGGAGTCAAGAGAATGACCAGTGGTTTGCAGTGAACCATACCAAAGATGACAGGCCCCTGCACGAAAGGAAATGTACCCAAGATGAAGTTCCTGATGCAATACTTCTCCTTTTTCAGTTTCTCCTTGCTTGGTGTTTTGCAATAATGTTTTTAAAAGTTCGTTTTTCCCACAAAGAGAAAGAAGGAGGAGGATCAGTAGATCTTTACACTGTGGACAGGTAGGATTTTTAAATTGTAATTGTCCCTAGAAAGCTTAGGTAGCATTCACTGCCACAAATGTAAATATTTAAGCCAAGAAACCAATCAGAAAAGTTTCTTGGAGTCATCTCAAACGCAAAACACACATCGTTATAGAAAACAAAGCCAAAGAAGTTACATTAATGATCCAGCTCTCTGAATTCTTGATTTTTACACAGTGCAAGTGACTAGTGTTACATTTCCTCTGTGTAAGTTTTTAAACTATCTCCTAGAGGCTTGCTTAAGCAACGAGGCTTCTTTAAGAAGTACCACCTGGTAAGGAGTCTTCTGGCAGCCACCAGCAATTCCAAGGCAATAGGTAACTATTACTGCTACCCACGTTGCTCCCTTCACTGAATTCCACTGAATTTTTAGAGTTGGCCCACAGCAGTATTTCATTGTTAGCCACACACAATGTCCCACTTCCCCACCACTGAGCATAATAACAAGTTAAGAAGGTTTTGGCAACGGGTAATTATTGAAGCAATTTGTTACATATACAAAGTGGCTCCCTTTTCAAGACAAAATACTCCAACAACTAAATAATACTCCAACTAATTACATTTAACAAGCAAATACACTAATGTAAAATCTTACTAAAAGGAGACCACAGGGTGTTGGAGACACTGAAATCCCAGAAGTAAAACGACGTCAGTATGAACCGATACTCTGGACTCAACCTGTAAATCTCACTCGTGCAGTCAATCCCAGATGGCTGTCAGAAAGTATTCCAAAAATAAGACACAATCAAGGGATTTTAAAAATCTTACAGGTTTTATAAAAACGTCATTATACATAACAAAAAGCCTTTTATCGATTAAAACTTACAAAACGCTTAAAATTTAACACACTTTTATAGAAAGATTATCTATATTTCCATATGTACAGGTAGCAGTTTATATCAAAACTTATTCAAATAGAAAGCAATTAATAACTTTCATACCTATCTAATTAGAAGTACGTACACTGTCAAAAAATATGAATGTGTTTAGAAATTACTGTTCTTGTCTATAAAAATAGAAAAGGGAAATACTGTAAGTACCTCACCTGAAGACTCAAAAATTTCCAAAGGTAACAAGACTTAAAATACAGCAGGTTTACAATGGTAACCTAAAAACACCAATTAAAACCTCTTAAGATAGAGAAACTATCCTTCTATTTTTATGAGTGTTCCAGCTCAGAAGAATGATGATGTAAATTTACAGGGAAGAAAAAAAAAAAAGAAGACTTGAGTGGAAAAATACCCCTGAGATAACGCAGAAACATATTTTTTTCCCCCCACACATTTGTTTCTTTGGCTTTTTTGTTTCTTTCAAGCTACCACATCGATTTAAAAGGAAATTTGTCCTGTCATAGGTTTTAACAGTTACATCATCACCACACAGGAAATCATTCTGATACAAGTGACAAAGAAACAACAGCATAAGTTGGTATTTTTCTTCAGATTCTTCCCATTTCTGACCCCATCCCCCTATTTCTCTTTTTAACCCTTTTTTAAATGATAAAATTCGATTGTTAAGAGGATAGAACAGCCACCTGTATATTTTTTTTCTATTTACTACTTCCCACATCTTCCTTTTTTTCTTGAGAGCTTTTTATAGAAGAGTTCTTCAAAAGCCATGCTTTCATCTTCCACTTCATTTTCGAAGTCTGTGTTGTGCACAAAGCCTATATTAAAAACAAGAAATTAATGCAGAGTGGAAAACCCCCAAACTTTTTCCTCTTAGTAGTATGACAAGCTATGTCATTGCTATTTTTTATGTCAGCACCATACCTTCGTACGTGTATAATCATGTTTAAGAAGCATTGGGCGTAACATGGCAACGTGCTAAGAAGCAGAGGCTCCTAAGCCACTTGCTGCCCTAGTAATTAATTTTTACCCTGAAAATCTGTTTCTATTGTCATTTCTTTTCACTTAAAGAGTTACGTCTCCTCTCTCCCAAGGTTCAGTTTCAGCAGATGATACTTTTGCTTTTTGACTTCAAAGACAGACTCTAATGTTGCTTGGGGGAACACTCCCATGCGGTCTTCTTTCTTGGAATAGGAAGGTCTAACACAAGACTTTATCACAATCAAATTTCCTTAAATAGAGCTACTTTAATGCTTTACATATAATGCAATTTGTAAGCCTGATCACTTAATTGCTGCCTTTTTATGCAACTGTTGCAATCCCACCACCTAAATATGTGCTTAAACCTAACGATACAGGTAGGCACAATGGAGTTTTAAATGTGTCCTCAGATGTTCGTGATGCAACAGATCTCATGGATGTATGTCATTTTCGGTGTGAAACAGAAGTGGAAACAAAAGAAAACCAACTGCATGGAATATTCTTCCACAGAACTCTTAAAAACAAGCTAAGGATTAGCTTTGTTAAGAAGCTGGCTTCCAAGAACTTGAAGCCACACTGCCCATAAACCTGCTGCTGCAGCAGAGTTAAGAAACGACACTATTTTATTGGGGAAGATGAAGACAACTTCTTTTCTGTCCCCCCCTGCCCAAGTTTCTATCCTGCACCCGAACCATCCGCATGCATGCATTTGTATGTGCACAACCACAGGCAGGCTTTATGGTTCCCCTGAGGGCCAGGAGAAGAGCCTTGCTCCACTCTCACCACCCTGTAACCAGCTCTGTCTTCAAGAGCCACAGAGGGAAGACTGGTTGACTCATGTTTTCCCCGAGTGCCCCTTAACTTGTTGCCTCGAGGGTAAGTGAATACCCACAGCGCTGCTGACTTGGAGACTAAAGTGATGCCAAGACACAGAACCCCATGTGCTTTGAAAGCCTACCTTCCTTTATCCTATGAGACTCCATCTTCTTCAGCCACTCGTGAGCCTCATCAATGGTGGTAACCAATTTGCTGGCGTGTTTGCTTATTATTTCTTCAGCTGAAACGGAGCACAATTAACATTCTGTAAGAACTCCCTCCCCCTGGGAGATGGACAGCAGCTAAAAGCCAAGCACAAGTTACAGAGGGCTGTGTTGTACCATGGTGCTGCACAACCAGAGCTCTCGGTCACCAGAGATCTCCTGGGCACTCAACTTCACTACTGGGGATGAAGATGCTGCACGCATTATTCCCCGTTCCAATCAACATTACTAACACTATCAGGGGAGCAGCTCTCCATCCTTGTACCATCCTCTTCAAGGTATACCTGAAACTCCTGAAAATATTCTGGTTTATCTGTTTTGGGGTGTTAAAAGTCTCTGACTTTCATTATCCTTCTGAAATTAGACGAGTCAAAGTAAAATATGGACTTGAGATGTTGCAACCCTTGCTTAACTGCAGTACTAAGGACTTGAAAAATGCTTGTTACAAAGTGAGGGAAAACTAATCTCAAAGCCAAGTAATATCATAGAATCATAGAATTGCCCAGGCCGGAAGGGACCTCCAAGGGTCATCCAGTCCGACCTCCCCGCAGTCAGCAGGGACACCCCCAACTAGACCAGGTTGCCCAGGGCCTCGTCGAGCCTCTCCTTGAATATCTCCAGGGATGGGGCCTCAACCACCTCCCTGGGCAACCTGTTCCAGTGCTCCACTACCCTCACAGTAAAGAACCCCCTTCTAATCTCCAATCTAAATCTGTTCCCCTCCAGCTTGAAGCCATTTCCCCTCGTCCTGTCACTACAGGCCTTTCTAAACAGGTTCTCCCCAGCCTTCCTGTAGGCTCCCTTCAGGTACTGGAAGGCTGCTATTAGGTCTCCCCGGAGCCTCCTCTTCTCCAGGCTGAACAACCCCAGTTCCTTCAGCCTGTCCTTGTAGCAGAGGTGCTCCATCCCCTTGATCATCCTTGTGGCCCTCCTCTGGACCCTCTCCATCAGGTCCATGTCCTTCTTGTATTGAGGGCTCCAGACCTGCACACAATACTCCAGGTGAGGTCTCACCAGAGCAGAGTAAAGTGGCAGAATCCCCTCTCTGGACCTGCTGGCAACGCTTCTTTTGATGCAGCCCAGGATGCGATTGGCCTTCTGGGCTGCAGCTGCACACTGCCTGCTCATGTCCAGCTTCTCGTCCACCAGCACCCCCAAGTCCCTTTCCTCAGGGCTGCTTTCCAACACCTCACCCCCCAGTTTGTATTGGTGGCGAGGATTGTTCCGGCCCAGGTGCAGAACCTTGCACTTGCTCTTGTTGAACCTCATGAGGTTCACCTGGGCCCACCTCTCCAGCCTGTCCAGGTCCCTTTGGATGACATCCCGTCCCTCTGGTGTATCGACAACACCACACAGCTTGGTGTCATCCGCAAACTTGCTGATGGTGCCTTTAATCTCCCTGTCTATATCATTGATAAAAATGTTAAACAGCACTGGTCCCAGCACGGACCCTTGAGGAACACCACTTGTGACTGGTCTCCATCTGGACTTTGAGCCATATCTGTAAATATATTTTCATTGAGCGGAAGAACATGGTTAACATTCATCAAGCAACTGTCATTACAAAACCAACTATTACCTAATTAAGCCTACCACATCTATCATATCCATCACTATCACGGTTCATTGAGCAGAAAGCTAACTAAATAATAAGCAAAACTTCACGGACTTCACCTGTACTTAAAAGCTTCCCCCTAGGAGTTAAGATAAAGCTTACACATGAACACCACAACCTAGCATTTAGCCACAAATTTTACATATTTCACTGATGAGAGCTGATGAACGTATCAAATATTACAGTTTTTCATTACTGTCAAACATCACAGGCAAAGTGATAACTTGACAGGGTTGGTGGATTTCTACAGTTAAAGCCAGTAACAATGTTTTGATTTAAGATGTCACTTTCCCACAGCAAGTACCCCCAAACAATTTTGCTCCTAGGTCACTCATTCGGTGGTTGAATTTTGCTTGCAAAAATCAGCATAGAATAATGCTTCAAGCATATGAGGGAGGAAAAATAAAAGATCAAGTATCAAAATACGTATCTCTTAAGTACCATAATTCACTGGACTTCGTAACACCAGGGCTGCCTTTGAGTGCCTGACACCCCAGATTTGTAGTTAAGTTTCCCCTTTTGTTCTGCCCCAGCAAAATTGCAAGTTCAAGGACAGACTAGTCAGAGATATCCTCAACCAAAGACTCCGTGTATTCCTAACACTCCACCCCTGCACGTCCAAATTATTATGGTTTTGGAACTAAATGAGTAGGAAAGAGTAGAAAAACTAGTAAAGATTATGTGGCCTAACATAACAAGTGTCTCTAAGACTATACATTCAGAGAACACAGCTATTCACTTTATTATTTACTAAAACACACCACTGTTCACTTCACCTGGACTATCTGATGTGTCACTTGGTGTGTGGAAGAGGTGAGAATGTATTTTTTAATATTCTCAACCGTCTCACTCCTGTTCCTCAGCTACCTAAAATACCTGGAAATAGCCTTCTCTTGACCACATTAAGATTTTCAAATGGAGCTTTGTCAGGTCTAGAAGTTTGGCCACAAATGACATATTTAATCGTTAAAAAGAAAACTGAAAAGGTTCTACCTCTAGCCCAGGCTTTTCTCTCATAGATTTCCCCCACTGCGTCTGAAATCTTCTTAATATTCTCTTTGATTTTCCTCTGGCATAAGTTGGAACCTTCTTTATAGGCTAAATGGTCTCGGGTGCAAGTCTTTTCTGTAATGGCCTCCACTACTTCCCGTCCATCATGTATTATTGGATCGATCTTTCTTCTGAAAAAGTCAGCGTAGTATTTGTAGGCAGTGCTATTATTTCTGTGTTTATCCGTGTTCCTGTGCCCCGTGTAAGTCTCACTGGCCACAGAAACTGCATTTCCTTCTGCAGGCAACTTTTCTTCCCCGCCGATCTCCGTCAGTGTCACGGCTTCAGACGTGTCCGCCTCCATGTTTTCTGACCGGCTGAAGTAGTTCTCAGAGCTCTGGGTAAACCTGACTCCACAGAGGTCACACTGGGTTTGGTCAATATCTGCTTTTTTGAAGATCTCTGATAAAAATTCCTCTCCTTCCATGGCCACAGGCTCAGCTTTGGAGCAGGCCTTCCTTTTCCACTTCATGCACAAGGAAACAAAATGGAAGACACGACGCAGCTGGCGTTGAGCAGATGCTTTCTGCTCTTGCTTCTGCTGCTTGTTGAGTGCAATGACTTCCAGGAGATCTTTTTGGTCCTCTGACCAAGGAACCCTTTCAAGTTCCTTTTCTAGCTCGTCCATGTATTCTGTCCTATCCAACGAGGTCATAAACCTGTCAAGGTTGACGGGCTCGTACAGGATGCCCCGTATGGGTGGATGCCCCTGAGTGTACACAGTGTCCCACTTCCACCTGCAGTCAACCAAGTGCTCTGCATCTCGCTTTATCAGCAGCTCTTGCAGGCCTGCAGCGATTTCTCTTACGTGTGTAGCATTACTCACTTGTTCCACAACCCTTAGCAATCTTTCAGGAACTTTAGAGGGAGAGTCCTTCCTCATTGATTTGAGCATCGCCTCGATTTCGGTAAAGCGCTGGCTTAAGAAGAATCTAGACTTACAATTCTGCACCTGGTCAGCATTCAGTAACATCACCAAGCACAGCACAACAGTCCGCTCAGCCTCCCCTGAAGTTACGCAATCGGGATCCTTGAAAGCATCCAGAAGGACATTGAACCTTCCGCTGACTCCAGACAAAACCTCTGTTAGGTAAGAGAGATGAAACCTGAAATTCTGCACGGCTACATAGGGGTCCTTCGGTCTGTACTCCTGTATAATAGAAAACGTGTCTTTAAGTTCTCTGTTATGGTCTTTGCTTCTGAACAAAAACTCCCAGTAATGAATGAGAGCGATGTAACTCTTGGGAAAGCAGAGAGTAACGTTCTTGGAGAGACGCAGCAGAACAGCACAACAGAGAATATACTGGAATTCCAACAGCATCACTGTGTTTCCTATGCTTGGAACCAGGTATTCGGTGCATTTCTTGACCAGGACATTCATAAAACGGAAAAAAAACCTTTTACAGTTTTCTGGGTTCTTATGAACATAGAACTGCTCGAGTGAATTTTGAAGAAGCCGAATGAAGCACAAATGCGTTCTCCCTGCGTTTTCAGCATTTTTATCAGGTAGCAACATACCATGTCTGCCCTCTATGCCTTTGGCCTTTCCTCCTTTGCCTTTACTCTTTGGGGAGTTTTTTGCCTTTGACAAAGCGAAGTTTAGCTCTCTGTTATAATCCTCCTCTTCCTTAAAAAGAAGTTTCTCGAATTCTTCAGGATATCCCGAAGATAAGATGAAAACTTGCATGGCACTGAGCCACAAGTCAGTCGACTCTCTCCTGGCTGCCGTGCCTTTGTTTCTAAACTTAAATGCAATGTACTCCTTCAACATTGCTCTACAGGGTTTGGAAATGACGTTACTGAACTCCAGTATTTCTTTGCACGCCTTGTGGTTCTCAGACAGTATTCTCAAATGAAAATGAGTAGGAAAAAACATTTCTAGGAGGGCTTTGCAAGATGCGTATCTGTCAGCAGTCAAAATGTCATCTAAGCTTTTGCACTGATTCAATAGCTCTTTAGGGAAAGCGCGCGTGGCTTCCAACAGCAGCCCGTTTACTGCCAGCAGATGCATTTTACACTGAAATATTGTCTTTGCTTCGTGGCGCAACAAGGGCTTATGGTAATCCTCACAGGTTTTATCCTTACAGTTCAAGCCAGCAATGAACTTGGTACAAATAGCAGGGTAATGCTTCTTCAGCAACTCATGGGTGATAGAGCACAACCTGCTCAACAAGTGCTGTTTCAAAGCTGATTTCACCTCCTCTGTGCTTACTGAGAAATCACCTTTGGTCTTCCTCTCTTTTAGGCTTGGCTTGTCTAACAAAAACTTGAGAATGGGTTCAGCTTCGTTTTGTGACACCTGGCAACTGTCACCTGTGGGGACAATCCCAAAATAGGCAAAGCATGACTTCACCATATCTTTCTCTGCATTGGTAGCTGCTTTCTTCAAACCCCTAACCAGACTCAGAAGAGCCATTAAGCCGCGCGGTGCCATAAAAAGGATGTCCTGGCTAGGAGCACCGCACCGCGATAACGCAAAGAGAGCTTCAACTGCACCAGCAGAATGGTTCAGAGAGAGGAACCAACAGTACGCGCTGCTCAGCTTTGCGAAGTCTCCCTTCAGAGCTCCCTGCAAAAACACAGCCTCAGCGATGCCAGACTTGTGCTCGGTCTGTTCACAAAGTTCCAGGGCTTCTCTTAGGATGACCTCCAAGTCGGCCAGGTCTGACTCCGAGGAGCGGCTCAGGCGGGCACGGGCTGCCGCAAGCAAACACGACGCCCGGAACTCTTTGCTACCTGTGAGGTTGGCTGCTTCCAGAGCAAACCCGTGTTGTTTCATTAACTTTGCAGCTTCTTCCTCTCGACCTTCCCTTTTCAGCAAGTCCGCTGCTCGGCGCAAGCACCCGCGAGACTTCAGGAACTCGAGCTGATCCTCTGTATCCAGTTTTGAGAGGACTCGCATCATTTCCTCCGTTCTGTTCCCACCCAGGTACTTGGCGGCTGCTTCCAAATACAATTGATTTGCTGTACATGAGAGTTTGGAAACCATCTGTCCTTTTGTATTCAACATCTCTTCATATCTGAAATAATAGACACATCAATTTACTAACGTAGATGACTAACCTAGACCAAAAAAAAAAAAACATTGCATTTTTAAAAAGCCCCTAAAACATTAAACAAACAAACAGCTTCCTCTAGAAGCCCTTCCTTCAAAAAGGCCAACTAATTCAAGTGATATGTGTCTGTCACGTGAAAAACAACCACATCGCCTTAAAAGATCTACACAAATAATTCAGTTACAACCCAAGCAAGATCATAAAAACTTCTGGTTCAAACAAGATCACAAGGTTTACAGTGTTAGTGAATCTTTCTCCACGCTGTCAAATCACTGTACATGTTACGTTAATCACATTTTGCCAGTGATAATCTTCTGTTTCTTAAAGCAAACCTCAATGTAGAATGGTTGTTTACGTGAACAGAAGCCAGAATGAAATAAATGCAAAGGTCAAAGAATTCTCCACAGGCCGATATAAATAATATTCTGTAAAATTTACATCAACCAGTCAGATTAGAGAACTCTTTCAATTCTGTCACATGCATCTACATATATTTTGCCGCTTATTGAGTGCCTGAGCAAAGTACTTTGTTGCATCTTTCAAAATATGCACTTTAAAACACTCAGTTGTTAATTATTCTTAGCTAATGTGAAATTAATAAGCTATCCCCTAAACCAGTCTTGCAAAAGTATTCTCTTGCGTGCTGAGAATGACTAATGTTTTCCTGATGGGTGAGTAAATCATCATTAGCCTTTCATTATCACCTTTTTCACGATAAAGGTGGGAGGGCAGATTTTTGTACCTATGCTGATGAATTTGCATGAATGATTTGGGGAGGCTGATTAAAAAAAGTCATTAGTTGGTGAGGTGATTTTAATGCTTGAACTTTTTGGTCAAACTACCTCTACATACTAAACAAACTTTAATCTTTCAAAAACCAGCTGCAAGGTACATCACAGAGGATTTCAGTGAAGATGTGTAAACATAAGCCTTGCTAGAATTTTAATGGGTGTATGTATTCTTTAAAAGTCATCAATTTAGGTGTAATGAACAGGGTGGCGAATAAATGAACCGTTTACACAAGAATGTGCTAACGAGGTCACAGGGATGGTGCCAGATGCGAAGTTCTGTCAAAAAGATACTAATAAAATCAGTTTATCAAGCACAATGTGAGGTTCTTCTTAGCTGCCCTAAGCCAGCACAGAGATGGTATGGAAGAGTTCATCTCAGAGACTGGGATGAGGAATCTGACAGAGAGGCAGCACAAGCTGCTCATTTAAATTACTATTCTTTGCTCTTAAGTTAGAAATTTTGAGAGAAAAATAGTTCATTTGCCACAAACCTGCTGCATTATATACCGTACAGCCAGTTGGTTATACTCATAGGGAAGTCAGTGACTGAGTAGCTAACTCTATCACTATTTCACTTTTCAAAGAGAAATATTTAATACTTCTATTAAGTGTTTTTGTCATATTTATCACAAGAGGTGATAAAGGACCAGTTCAGAGGACTGGCCAAAGGAGAACTTGCATGACTAGTAATACAGACTGAAAAAAATTCCCAGGAAAATGAAGCTAGTCAGTGCTCCAGCTGCAAACCCAGCAGAATGCTTTCACCGTGTTATCACTACTCAAGTGAGAATTCTGACAAGGGTTCATTTCATTTCAGATAAAACAAAGTCACCAGCCAAAACTCTTATGAAAGTTTTATGGTGAGCCAGCTGTATTATGTTGAATTTGGAAATGGAAAAGAAGATTATATTGCAATACCATCTTGGAAAACGTACCTTTCAACTGCCTTTGCTGCTTCTTCATAGAGTTCTTCCTGACAATACATTTTAATTGCCAGATCAAACTCCTCAATTTGTTCATAACATTCAGATGCTTCTTTGTAGGACTGGCATTTCTGATAGTAAACTGCAGCGTCTCTCATCTGCAATGCAGAAGTCAGTGATGAAACTGAAGTGTTCTAAACAGTCCAAACTACACGAACAGAATAAATCAAGTAATTCCATCATGTAGGTAGCTCATAGAGAAGCACACTTTAATAAAATGTAATTAAAGTATCTGAATGTAATCAAATAAGTATTAAAGTAACCATCATTAAAGCTGATCGCATTTTTAAAAAACCTTCAAAATATTTGTATCTGAAAAACTAGAATGTAGAATTAAAGGTATTATACAGGATTTCCAAAGTACTTTTTATTAACCCAGCTCTGCCTGTTGTTAAAAAACACCACACACACTTCTGTCGAGCAAATTGCTCAGAATCAACAGGATTAAACTAAAATAGTTAAGGAAGCAGAATGGGAACCCTAACCATGTATCTTTAAATATTTGGGAATGATCATTTGACATTCTTCTTGTGGAAATGCACTGCAAATAAAAACTGTGAAATATCCTTATACATTTAGAAGATTATTGTCAGCACATTACTTAACCCTTTCAAGTTTCAAGGTTCCATTGAGACGGCTGGAATCAATGAAGTTTCAGTATCATCAGAGCAGTGAATGAAGGAACAGCTTAAGTTTCATGAAATCAGTCATTAATTAACTCGGGAGCGCAGAGCAGAAATGACTGATGGCAACATTTGAGAAAAGCCAAAGAAATAAACCTAGATTGCCTAATTGCATCACTGTCCTCTTCGTTCTTCTTCTGGCAACTCTGTGACAAATGATTCCTCTTGAAGGGGTCAGCTTAAAGAGCTGGTTTAGTTCTGCTACCGCCATGTCACAAAAAGATACTTATTACCTTCTGAGTAATATGAGGGGGGAAAAAAAGCTGTAGGAAAAGAAAAGTGATGAGGAGAGATAGTTTAGAGGATTTAATACCTTTCCTAGCTTTTTACACAATTCCGCACAAAGCCAGAACTCCTTTGATTGACACAGACATTTTAGTGATAATTTTGGTTCTCCGCACTCCAAATAAGTTTTAGCCAATGTCATATACTCCATCTGTTTATCCCTGTAGAAAATAAGAGAAAATTACTGCTTACATCCAAATCAAACCCGACGTCATGTGTTCTTCTTCATACATAACCTGATGAGCTATTACTTTACAATTAGTTGTATTTTGGGCCGACAGCGTTCTGTCCAGAAGCCTGTTCCAGAATCTCACGGCTTTGGCATTAAAAAGCTTTTTTCTTTTTTTTTTAAATTCTAATACTAAAGAATAAATGTGCTCCTTCTCTTTTCTAGCTTAACTTGCTCCTTCCTCCTTTTGGTTGTTTAGCCCCAATGCCATTAAAGACAACAATCAAATCTGTTCTCAGCCTTTGTTCTATATAACTAGACAGTCCAGCCTTTCTGGTATCATCGCAGCAGGTCTATCTTCTTCCCAGACCTAGTCTGAATTCATCATTCTTGAGCCTGAAGGATCAGAATTGCACAGAGCACTTATTATAGGGCACACAGGAATCTTACTTACACATTCTACACTGGCATTAATACCTCTACTAAAAAAAAAAAAAAAATATGTCATTTTCACAGCTCCATTGTTACACTTAATATATCCCCATATATCCCATTTCTTCTCCTCAAATTTTATTCAGCTGACAAGCACCCCAGCTTAAAGCCATCCAAAACAAAGTTTTTTCAGTCCCATCAACAAATTTTCTATGACCCCAAAATTTTGTGAGTGTCTTTATACTTCTAGCCAGGTGTCCTGCTTTCAGGTGGGAAAGAGTTGATTTTCTTTCTAGTGATTGCTGTGAAAGGAATGTCAATAATACCTACTGTGTTTAGCTGTTGCCAAGTGATGTTTACACTATTCAAGGACTTTTTTCAGCTTCCCACAGAGGCATAGACAGAAGGATGGAATGGCCCACCAAATATTCCATACTATAGATGTCACAGTCAGTAGATAAATGGGGGTTAGTGAGGGGGTGGGAATCCATGATCAGTGCTCAGGATGGTGGCAAGTCACCAGGCAGTGATAGTGACCTGTGTCATTCATTATTGTTGTTGTTGTTATTTTTCCTTTTCTGTTGTTGCTTCTAGTAAACTGTCTTTATCTCAACCCATGATGGGTTTTTTTCTCCCTTTCCCCTCCTTTTTTTCCTCTCTTCCCCCCATCCTTCTTGAGGGGAAGGGCAGGAGGAGTGTGAGCAAGCGGCTGCGTGGTTCTAGTTGCTGTCTGGGGTTACCACCAGGTTGAAACCAGGGCCACTAATATAAAACAGGTAATTAAAAAAGGTAAAACCTTGATTGACTCCAGTAATAACATTTCTCCAGACCTTTCCCCTTCTCCCTTCAGTGCTAGCTTCCTCTGCTCTAGTCACTCCTTACCCACTCTACTATCACTGCTAGTTTTCAGCCCACCCAGCATGAACAGGAATTAATTCACTTAGGTCTAGAGTCCTCCACATTAAGGTATTTCTGTCTTATCTGAGACAAGTCCCAAACATTTCTTCAGCCTTTTCAGGAAACTGCAAACTTTCTCCTCTGTCAAACCCTTGAGCTATTTTGCCCAGCTGACAGCACAAACTAAATGATACATCTCAAAATCTGTCCCTTTGAAACTGCCCTTTGCTTCAGGTCAAGTTATGCTCCTTTAGTTAAGATGGACTCTAATTTTACCTCAAAACTCCCTTTTCTTCCCCGATATACAACACCATTCCTTTTTCTTTGTTAAGTGAATATGCAGTGGGATTAACTGGAGTTGAGCACTGCTGATGGCATATGCTCTTCTATCTGTATCTAAGAATAAAATGCCTCTTAAAATAATGCAAATGCAGCTGCTTTTCTGCCACATAACCAGTAAGTCCCTTCCAGGGCCAGATTCGGTTGGGACAGCCTGTGGGACACAAGTGCTTTCACTACCCCCCAAAGGGAACGGAGCCCCAGAACCCGCTGGAGCTGTGCTACACTTTCCCATTTCTTAAATCTCCTTTGCGACCCACAGACAAAGATGTGAAGACACCTCACCCGTGTTGTTCTTCCATGTCTCCAGTCCAGTCCCACAACCACGGTGGCCAGGAGGTGGAGGGAGGTCATTCTCCCCCTCTGCTCTGCACTGGGGAGGCCACAACTGGAATCCTGCCTCCAGTGCTGGGCTCCCCAGTTCAAGAGAGACAGGGAACTGCTGGAGAGAGTCCAGCGTAGGGCAACAGAGATGATGGAGGGATTGGAGCATCTCCCTTATGAGGAAAGGCTGAGAGATTACTAAACCATGTCTCTAAGCACTAGGTCAACCCGTCTTTTGAATACCTCCAGGGATGGTGCCTCAACCACCTCCCTTGGAATGGGCTGCCCAGGGAGGTGGTTGAGGCACCATCCCTGAAGGTATGGAGATATTCAAAAGATGGGTTGATATAGTACTTAGAGACATGGTTTAGTAATGTGGGGGTTTTTGTTGTTTTGTTTGTTTTTGGTTAGGTTGATGGTTGGACTAGATGATCTTAAAGGTCCCTTCCAACCTAGACAGTTCTATGATTCTATGACTCTATGAGAGTTGGGACTCTTGAGCCTGGAGAAGAGAAGGCTGAGGGGAGACCTTATTCATGCTTCCAAGGAACCAAAGGGTGGGTGGAAGGAGGATGGAGCCGGACTCTTTTCAGGGGTTCCCAGGGACAGGACGAGGGGCAACGGGCACAAGCTGGACCATGGGAAGTTCCACTCCAATGTGAGGAAGAACTTGTTTGGGGTGAGGGGGGCAGAGCCCTGGCAGAGGCTGCCCAGGGAGGGTGTGGAGTCCCCTTCTCTGGAGATCTTCAAGCCCCACCTGGATGCTCCTGAGTGATGTGCTCTGGGCAACCCTGCTTTGGCAGGGGAGTTGGACTGGATGGGCTCTAGAAGGTTCCTTCGAACTCCCACAACTCCGTGATTCCGTGAATCCCCCCCTGCACGCACCCATGAGGTGTGGCACCGCAGAATGACACCTGCTCATCTGTGTCTACCCTTACCTGGGGCTGCTTTTCTTGGAGTGCACTTTGAGAACAGCATCATGGGCCAGGGCCAGTTTTGACTTCTCAGCTGCTCCTCCCTTTTGGTAACACTTGGCTGCCACCTGGGGTGAAACCATACACAGCATTCACATGTCTGCATCCAGCCCATGGCTTATCACAGAAAGGCAATACTTAATTATAAAGTCACTGTAATGGAAAACAGAAAGACTGGCAGGGAGACACGAAGAAGGAAAAGGTAAAACACTGCAGTATATTTTAGGACAAAAAGAAATGCTTTGAAGCCGGCCCGTGTGGGACTCTCACGATTAGAATTTTAGTTACAATGTTTTACGTGGAAGTAGTGAAAGCAAAATTCCTGGTAGGCTCATAGAACAAACAGCACATGCAATTTGAATGATGGCCTAAACCATTAACTGGTAAGTCACCAGGCATCTACCACATAAATCCTATTAATAAAAGTTAGGAAAACCAATATGTGCAAAGTTAAAAACATTTATTCATGCTTATACCCCAGCAGGCCCTTTCTGTGATAAGCTAAAGAGGAACAGCGGGAGTTACAATGCTCCTAGCAAGGTCTGCTTCATTATCACCCCACTCACTCTGCAACACCATTATTTCTTGATTCTATCCATTAATTTAGTAATTACTTCTGCTGGGAAATCGCACATTGCAAGCCACTCTTCTAACTGCCAAATTCACCAGATAATTTCTTCTTAATGTGGCAATGATAAGCAAACATCAGGGTTATAAAGAAAATAAAGCAGCAGACAATATAGCTAATACGTTTCAGATTTCAAGATGAAATTTTTGCAGCTGTGTGTTTTTTATCTAAACATTTTTCTGCCCATTTAGGAAACTGTTGTGGTTTTGTTCAAGGAGAGATAAAGACTGTGTGTATAGTGGCAGCTGATTATTTTGATTTTTGCCTTGTTATAAATTTCTATTTTCCATACAAAAAATTATAGTTTGCTATCAGCAAAAAAAATAATTGCTTTCCTTCTGTCATGATCAAAAAAAGCATCCAAAATTTTATTACACAGAATCATAGGATATCTTAAGTTGGAAGAGACTCATAAGGATCGTTAAGTCCAACTCCCTGCTCCTCACAAGACCACCAAAAACTAAACCATATGACTAAGAGTGTTGTCCAGACTCTCCTTGAACTCTGACAGGCTTGGTGCCATGACCTCTTCCACGGGGAGCTTCTTCCAGTGACTGGCCACCCTCCCGGTGAAGAACCTTTCCCTAATGTCCAATATGAACTTCCCCTGACAAAGCTTCATTCCATTTCCTTGTGTCCTATCGCTGGTCACCAGAGAGATGAGATCAGGACCACCCCTCTGCTGCCCCCCCCTTGAGGAAGTTTTAGACTGCAATTTAGACGCCTCAGCCTTCTCTTCTCCAAGCTGAACAAACTAAATGACCTCAGCCACTCCTTCCAAGTCTTGCTCTTGAGACGTTTCACCATCTTGGTTGCCCTCCTCTGGACACACCTTATACTGAGGCGCCCAAAACTGCACACAGAACTTGAGGTGGAGCCACACCAGTGCAGTGTAGACTGGGACAATCACCTCCCTCAACTAGCTACCTATGCTGTGCTTGATGCACCCCAGGACACCATTGGCTTTTTTTTTGCTGCCGGGGCACACTGTTGACCCATACTCACCTTGCCACCAACCCAAACCCCCAGATCTCTTTAGCAGGGCCGCTCTCCAGTCTCTCATCCCCAGGTTTGTACCTATAACCAGGATTAACCCAACGCGGGTGCAGAATCTGCCACTTGCTCTTGTTAAATTTCATATGGTTGGTGATTGCTCAGCTCTCTGGTCCATCCAGATCTCTCTGTAAGCCCTCTCTACCCTCAACAGCGCCTCTTAATTTAGTATCATCAGCAAAATTACTTAATGTACATTCAATTCCTGCCTCCAGACCATTTCTAAAAACACTAAAGAACACTGGCTCTAAAATTGAGCCCTGGGGAACCCCACTGGTGACTGCCAGCCTGATATAGCCCCATTTACTATAACTCTCTCAGCCTGAACAGTCAGCCAATCGCTCACCCAATCTATTATGGATTTGTCTAGCTGTGTGCTGGACATTTTGTCCAGAAGGATACTGTGAGAGACAGTATCAAAAGCTTTACTAAAATCCAAAACCACTGCATTTACTTGTTTCCCTTGATCTACTAGATGGGTGACCTTGTCCTAAAAGGAAATTAACTGGTCAAGCAGGACTTTCCCCTTGTGAACCTGTGTTGGCTATGATCAGTGACCGCATTGTCCCTCAAGTGTTCTTCAGTAACTCCCAGAATAACATTCTCCCTAATTTTAGCAGGCACTGAACTGAGACTAGGCTTGAAATTACCAGGGTCTTGTTTTTTTACCCTTCTTGAAAACTGTAACAACATTTGCCATCTTCCAGTGGACTGCAACCTCTGCAGACTCCCAAGGCAGTTAAAAATAATTGAGAGAAGTCCTGCAATAAAATCGGCCAGCTCTTCCAGTACCCTGGAAGGAATCCCATGGAGCCCCATAGACTTATGCACATCCAGCTGGAGCAGCAAGTCTCAAACAGGTTCAGAGTCAGCTGGGAGTTTAATCATCCCCCTATTCAAGGTCTTCCAACACAGTGCTCTGAAGGTCCCATGGCCCATCATTAAAGACATTGAAGAAGGCATTAAACGCCTCCATTTTGTCTACATCCCTATTTGTGAGGTGACTGACCTCATCGAGTAATTGCCCAATGTTATCTCTGATCCTCCTTTTCTAGTTCTATTTAAAAAAGCCCTTTTTGTTGTCCTTCACAGTGCTGGCCAGCTTGAACTCTAATCAAGCTTTGGCCACACAAATTTTCTCCCTGCAGTGGCAACCAGTGTCTCTCTCTGTAGTCCTCCCATATTGCCTATTCTTGCCTCCAATTTCCATACACTTTTCTTTTCTCCATAAGTTCTATAACAAGATCCCTGCACAGCCAAGTGAGCCTTCTGCCCCACTTGCTTGACTTCTGACACTTTGGAATTGTCTGCTCCTGCGCTCTTAAAAGAGATGGCTCTTAAAAAGCAATCAGCATTCGTGAACCCCAAGATCTTCAAAAGCAGATTCCCAGGAGACCTGCTCTCCCCATACCCAGGGTCAAAGTTTTGCTGGCAGTTTTTCTCCTACCGCAAATGATTTGAAACTCTTACTTCGTGGTCACTGTGATCAAGACAGCCACCAACCACCACTTTGCCCGTGAGTCCCCCTCTGTTGACAAACACCAAATCTAGGAGGGCGTCTTTCCTAGTCAGCTCCCTTAGTACCTGCACCAAGAAGCTAACTTCAGCGTGATCCAGAAATCTCCTGGACCCGCTTGTCTGCGCTGTATGATATTCTCAATTGATGTCTGGGAAATTAAAATCACCCATAAGGACAAGGGCAGTTGATCTAGAGACAGCCCTTAACTCCTTGTAGAGTAATTCATTGGTGGTGTCATCCAGGCTGGGTTTAGCTTCCATTCCATTCATTGTCATTCCGTATCTGGATTGTATTGGCTATCAATTTAGGAAATAAAAGACCGTAAAATCCCCATGTTCTTTAAATAGTAAAGGAACAAAACCACCATTTTGCTACTCTTTCTGCAGTTTTCTTAGTGCTCCCTTGGTTCTTACATGCTGTTCCCTAATGTGTGTTTTGTACCCATCCCTAATCGCTGTCCAAAAAACCAAAAGGGGTCTGAGATCATCACCCAGATCAATACACTTCCAAGAAATGTTTTCATTTTCCAACAATAATGTGTAATGATATTGTCAGGCAATTGGTTTAGATTCACAGATTCCAGTCATTGCTAGTAATTGTTTTTTTTTCCAACCACCTTTCATTTGTGTGCATTAAAATGTTTTTCCCTTATTGGACTGCAAATTTTGGAGTAGTGAATTTAAGATTAGACAATAGGCTTGCTCTCCCTGCTCACTTCTTAGAAGTCGTTTACAGGCTGGGGCAGAGTGGCTGGAGCTGCCTGGCAGAAAAGGACCTGGGGGTGTTGGTCGCCTGTGGGCTGAAGATGAGCCAGCAGTGTGCCCAGGTGGCCAAGAAGGCCACCAGCATCCTGGCCTGTGTCAGGAACAGGGAGGTGATGGTCCCCCTGGACTTGGCAATGGGGAGGCCGCACCTTGAGGGCTGTGTCCAGTTTTGGGCCCCTTCCCACAAGAAAGACCTTGAGGGGCTGGAGCGGGTCCAGAGAAGGGCAAGGGAGCTGGTGAGGGGTCTGGAGCACAAGTCTTGTGAGGAGAGGCTGAGGGAGCTGGGGGTGTTGAGCCTGGAGAAAAGGAGGCTGAGGGGAGACCTTCTGGCTCTCTCCAACTCCCTGAAAGGAGGGTGTAGCCAGGGGGGGTCGGTCTCTTCTCCCAAGTCCCAGGCCATGGGACAAGAGGAAATGGCCTCAAGTTGTGCCAGGGGAGGTTCAGATTGGAGATTAGGAAAAATGTTTCCATGGAAAGGGTTCTTAATCCTTGGACTGGGCTGCCCAGGGCAGTGGTTGAGGCTCCATCCCTGGAGGTATTTAAAAGCTGGGTTGACCTAGTACTTAAGAGACATGGTTTAGTGATGGTTTTGATCAGAGTTGGGTTGATGGTTGGACTAGATGATCTTAAAGTTCCCTTCCAACCTAGACATTTTTCTGAGTCTTAGTAACCTGCAAACACCTACACAACCTACACAACTACAAACCACAAACTATGATACACTGCAACAGAAAAACTGAAGGTTTACAGATAATTTTACAGATGCAAAGCCAAAAAAAAAAGGTTTCAGAATAGACAAGAATCCTTATTTCAGATAAAGGTACACTCTTACCTCCCAGAACTGATGTTTGGCATAGTAGTCTCCCTGTGCAATCCATTCTTCTGGAGTTGAAGTTTTAGCAAACATGCTGTCATCTAAGTCTAGAAGGTTAAGCGTAATCATTTTATGTAAAAATGGACAAACCACAGAAATCACTTACAATGTACCAAAACTAAGCTTTAACATCTCATAATGTTCCAGACTCTATAACTTGTGCTCACACCAGTAATGGTAACTGGTTACCAGTAATGGTAACTATGAGCTAAATACTTTTCATCTCTCTCAATCAGCACTGCAAATCAACAAGTTGAGTTTGGTTTAAAAATCATGCTTGTTTTTTGGACAAAACTTTGAGTAAATCCACTGTCTTTATAGAAATGAAATTCTTTCCTTTTAAAAATTTCTTATAGCTGGGGTGGTTTCCTGTGAACAGCCTTCATTACTCTGCAGGGAAAATTATAGTAATGAATTAGCAACGAAGTTACGTATTAATGTACACAACTGATCTTTACAGCCAGAAGAGGTAAGAGCCACTGAAATCAGTGGAAATTTGGAAGGGTAATTATGAATATGTATGCCTTAAGAGCAAGACAGCATGAGTAGGCTGTCCGGTGTCATAGTCTTTTAAGGAAGATTTAGGATAACTTTACCTTTCTTTTCATCTGCTTTGACAACCTGAACTAATTCTCTTTTGATGAAATACTTGAAAGCTGGAGCCCGTTTATCACTGTCTTCATCAAAAATCCAAAGATTGACCCTGGCTCTTGTGATAGCAGTATACAATTGCTTTAGTTCTCCATTCAGCATCTGAAGCAGAACAAAAATAACCAACACAAAGGCAACACACCAAAATAAAATAAAATTAATGTCAGATGAGCTACAGCGTTAGAAAGAAAAATACTTTGCAGTTATAAGAAAACAGAGAATATATACAGAACAAATAACAAATAAAAAAGTTTCTTTAGGTAAGCGAGTCTAAATGCTAAATATGTGATTTTTCAATCCCATAAGCCATTGCCCAGCTAATTTGCATGCAACTACTGCTACAGCAAATCCAGCAGCTGCAGCTGTGACAGTTCATTTTCCTTCTAATCACTTGCATATATAATTATTCATTTTTTACCATAAAATCCTGAAAATATCTGACTCCCTAGATTCTAAGAAATTTCCTTAATTTTAAGGTAGTGACACCAATCTAAAACCAGCCTAAATTAATAACAATTATTGACAGGCTGATCTGCTTTTTGCTTTAACCACAGCTGTTCTGTAAATATACCTAAAAGCCTATTACACGTAGTTTTTGTTCTCTTACCCAATTAAATTCACAAAAAACTCTTATCTTTCAAAAATCAAGCTTACATTATACAACCGTGAACTACCAAAAACATAAAGCAACCTCGCTAAACACAGAACTACAGGCTGAAAGGATTTCTTGAAGAAATTTCCCTGCTTCCAAGATTTAAGAATTTAGTTCACCCTTCCTATTCCCAATGTTACAAAAAACTCACCTTGTACATTTCTATATTAAAAGGAGTTCTTTTCTGCATACCAGTACCATCCTCTAAAGGCATTTCAATTAGCAACTTGTTTCCTACTTGCACATCCGAATCAGGAGCATAAGAAGAAATGATCTTCCATTCTTTGCTAGCCTAAAATGACAAGAGAATGAGGTTTACTTGCAGGCAGCAATCGCTACTGCCCACAAATGCAAAAGATAAGGTCATCTGCTGTCATTGACCAACTGAAGAAGGCTCAGAAGAGATGGGTGGTAACATGCTCTAGCTCTAGGCAATCCTGCTTCAGCAGGGGAGTTGGACTAGATGATCTCTATGGTCCCTTCCAACTCTAAAATTCAGTGAAATTCAGTGAAACGAAATTATCTCAGGGAAGAATGTAAAGAATGACTGTCACTTTTCATCAAGAAAGCTGCACTTCATCTCAATACAAGTGGTACTGGAGGGGAACCTTTGTTTGAGATACATGGCTGTACCAGGCAGTCATCAGGCTGAATAAACAACCTTCTTTGAAGGAGCCGGCGGAGAGTGATCCACTCCTGAGCCAGCCAGACCAACATGGGGAAGTGAAAACATGGCTTGGCCCAGAGCGTGTAAAAACTGAGCAACAAACAGAACAAACCTGGAAGAGGGCAATGGGCTTGAGCTGGCTTCAAGCTATGTACTACCTCCTAGGGACTGGGGAGGCCCAGCACCACAATGGTGGAGGAGCACACAGGACCACTAATGGGAGTCACATTTGTATTGTGATTCTGTTGTATGTTGCCATTGCTGTATTATGCTTTTCTTGTGATTTCAGGAACGCTCTTCTAAACCCAAACCATCTGCAACATCTAATATATCAAATAAGTAAATTCGATATTAAACATGAAAACCTCCTTGGTTGGACCATACATTTTCAGCTGAACTTGAAGATATATCCCTACAATAGATGGCCCTTGTATGGGGAAAAGGAGGAAATCAGGTTACCCTCACCATGGACAAGGCTCAGGGTTTAGTCCTAGAGCCAGGGATTCTCCTACAAACCCCAATACCGCAGCAGACAGACACACTGCCCAGGGCAGGGTGAAAGGTAAATGGCAGCATGATAACCCTCACAAGTTGCTAAAATCCTCTGCCTAAGACATGTTGGATAGATCTTAGCCTTTAGGGCAGGATGGGCAGCTGCCACATCTCCTTCACAATACAAGACTGACAAGCTCGGTGAGTTGCAGACAAGATGGTCCCCAACTCACCAACCTCCTTGCCACTGTAGCACCAAGGAGGCTTGGAGCAAGGAGGACCCAGACAAATGGAGGCAAGTGGCTGCTTTCCTTTAGCTGGTGCACTGACAAGGCACTACTCTGAACAGGGACCAGATAATTCACCTTGGCAGGAAAAGGCAGTGGAATAACAAGAAGGAGATTTGGGACATCATCGTTGGCACGTGATTCATCACCAGTGCTTGTGGTAAACCACAATGTGGTGGAGCCCATGGACAAAACCAAGGGGTTGAAGCCATGGAGACGGACCCACAGGTATCCCATACAGGCATATATTCTCACCCTCACAGGTTTAATACGATGAACGTATTAAGCTCAGTGTGCAACACGAGTATTCACTACTGCTGGTCTGAGCCAGGGAGTGGAACAGCACCTGCCAACACACCAGCTTGGAAGAAGGCTCAGAGATGAGTTAAAAAAATAAGCATGGAGATTTAGATTAGATATTAGGAAGAAATTCTTTACCTTGAGGGTGGTGAGACACTGGAACAGGTTGCCCAGAGAAGCTGTGGCTGCCCCATCCCTGGAGGGGTTCAAGGCCAGGCTGGATGGGGCTTGGAGCAACCAGGGCAGGGGGTTGGAACTGGATGGTCTTTAAGGTCCATTCCAACTCAAAAGATTCTATGATTCTATAATATCTAAAAAGGTCGAGTCAGAGGATATTGGACTTTTGACACAGGGACATGTTACAAGTGTCTACAAACATGCACAGACATGCTTAAATTTATGTTAAGTCTGGCAGGAGACCAGTGTTTTGCACTCTCGTGCCATGGAACAAATGCCAGCTCCTGATCACACCTTTCTGCAGGTTCCTGAAATCCCACAAAACTAACAACCTAGAAAATTGTAAGTATATTAAGTTATGTTCATTTTTTCCCCTTTTAGGTATTTAATTGAAATCTGATTACATAGTGCCAAGTTTCTGGCACAAAATGATAAATACTTGTAATAAGTCTGAAATAGTTTTACATATATATATATATAGTTCAGAGCATTAAGCAAACTGAAACCAGTTAACTGTCTTCCTATGGGGGAAAAAAATGCAGGAAATCTTTCTTGCAAAATGTATTTTGAAGTTAAGATTGCAATAATTCACCAACCAAAACATTCCTAAGTCTATCATGGATTACAAGATGACAACCAGCTAATGGTATTGGTTTGGACAACAGCTTGCTGGGTTTGGAGGTTTGGGTTTTTTTCCTCTTTGATTCTTCATTCGAACTCCTTCTTGAAACAAGACTCATTTCAAATATCCTTTTCAAGCCCAGTAAAAGGAAAACTCAACAGATTTGCTGTGTTTCCAACAGTTCTCAAGTTCAGCTTTTCAAAACTAGGAAACCCCCGGCTGAGCTGCTTTTTTGCCTCCTTGTTTAGCTGCTCAAATCAACTCAATTACTCCTGACTCACAGGAAAAGGGAAGGATTGTATGAAAACAGTTCTCCAGGCCTGACACACATTAGTTTAGCTGAGTTAAAATGCTCTATATAGAGCTCAGCTCTTAAACTGATTCTGCTAAATTCTGATGAACGGTTCACTGCTTTTCTAAGTACAACTTGCATCGCCAAAACCAAAATAAACTTTGAGAAATCTGCCATGACAGCCACTATCGTTCTCTCCCCAAATCTCAGTAAGCCAGATTCAACACCATTTACCTCAAGCTCCTTCCCTCTACTCTTACCATGTAATGTCCACTAACCTCTATGAAGAGCCACCAATAAGTTGCCCTCAGTTTATCTGTGGTTTTCATCTACTGGAAACCACCATTTTGAGGGCTAGAGGACGTTTAGATGCGGTACTGAGGGATATGGTGTAGGGGAGGACTTTGTAGAGTAGGGTAGATGGTTGGACTCGATGATCCCAAGGGTCTCTTCCAACCTCAATGATTCTATGATTCTATTTTTAATTGCAGAGCAACTCAGTTGTGGACATTCTTGAGTCTCTGCAGGCATCTTCAGAGAGGATGCCACCTACTACTGTCTGGCTGGGGGCAAGGGGTGGGTGGGAAGAAGTGCTCAGTGATCCTCCAGCAACAACAGCAAGGATGCTGTCCTTGATAGCTCTTTGCAAGGAGCTTCAAGAACAGGATCCCTGCCAGGTGCAGAGTTACAGGAAACCCTGGAGAGAAAGGATCTGAGCTTTCCAGAGAAGTACAAAGGGAGTACCTAAGAAATACAAACCACAGTACCTCCATGAAAAGGAGACTTCTTTTTCTGAAGCCATTCTACAGATGATGGTCTCTGCTATAGACTGTGAGACCTTCCCAAGTTTCCTAACAACTCCTGAGCTAGACTAGAAAGTGTTTTCTGGAGCTATGCTGTGGATGGCTACTCCTCCCCACTCTATGCCAACCACACGCACACACTATTTGATTCTAGACATTGTTTACTAAACTTTCAATTAAAAAAAAAAAAAAAAAGAAATCACTCTGTTTCCTTTTGTTTGGGGCTGATTTCAAGTCCAGTGCAATTTTTTTGGTGTGCTAGCTCATGGACCAGAACGTTTTCTGGAGCTAAGCTGTGGATGGCTACAGAGAATGCTCCCCTCTCCCCTCTGAACACACACACACACACACTATTCGATTCTAAACATAATTGTTTTATAATTTTGTGGTGACAGTCTGAGGTGCTTTTTTGGGAACCAAAACTCCATTACATACTCCATACTCTTTGTATGACAGGGTGATGAAGTGTCCCTCCGCCAACTGCTCTGACCTGAGCAGGGCGCAGCCAGCAGGGACTTGCTGTTAAGTTAGCAGAATAGTTTTGGTATGCAGAAGTGTGTGTGTGTGTGTGTGTGTGTACTGCCACGTAAACCCCAAGGCCCTCCCTTAAATGGCAACAGCCAACCAAGGCAAACGCAGCACTAAGGAAGACGGTCTTCAATCCATAAACCCACGACCCCTGTTTTCTACTGTGATGAAACCACCCATGTTCAGAGGAAACAGGGAATCCTTCCCCGGCTGCAAAGTCAAATAGACCACATGTAAAAATCAAAATGTAAGAAAAAATGCAGAAAATCGATAAGAAATAAATACCTCTGAGTCTGTGAAAAAGTTGTAAAGGAGTACATCATCAAATTCCAAGCCCTTTGCTTCATAAACTGTCAGTACAAGCGCTAAACTAAGTTCCTCGGGTATCTTCTCCTTTGCAGTTTCATTTGCCACTAATACCACCTGTCATAAAATACATGAATAAAAACAACATATTAGGAAGGAAAAAAAAAAAAAAGATAACAGCTGCATAGAGAAAGCATACAAAGATGATAATGCATACAAATCACAATACTACAAGAGCCTCCTCAAAACCAGACAACATTTAACACAGACATTCCAGCACACTCTGCAAAAAAGATCTCAAAGCTGCCACTAGAAGACTGGCAAATGCATGGTGTGTGCAGACACTTGTCTATCTAGTGTAAGAAAATTTGGTGTTAGAAAGGAACGGGACAGGCGACACCTGATACAAAAAAGAACAGAAAGACCCAGACATATATTAAGAAGAATCAGAAACCAACGCAATAAAGATTTCTAAGTTTAAAAAGCATAATTCATCAGTGAGATACAAGGGCTTAAAAAAGAAAGTTGTGGGCAGTCCATACAGAATGACGATTTAGCAACCAGAGCTGGAAGAATCTGCAAAAAGCGGTATACCTAAGAAATGCAAACCTGATGTGCTCCAAATTCAATGGGTTGTGTTTTCCTTTTGTTGCCCCTCAGCAGAATTGCTAGGTCACTAACACTGCAGGACTCCAAGACTGTAGGTTTTGGTCCATCAAAGAGACCGCGGTCCTTAGGAAGCCGATCAAAAGATTCTGGGAAATAATGCTGAAGCAAATCAACCACTCCAGATGCTAAATGGAGAATACCTGTAATAAGCAGAATACAGATTTTAAACTTCAGACTGACTGTCTCATTCTCTTTCACAAACACACTTAAAAGATTCTGTTAGAATTCTGAAATCAAGAAATACCACGACAAAAACACTAGTCAGAGAAGAGAGAAGCTGAAAGGTCCACTGTATGGACATTTTGAGTTGGACCTCATTCTTGGGCCTGTAAGGATCAGAAAGTGTGCTACAAAGGCTCAGCAGCACCCTCACAAAACGAAGGTCATAAACGAGAAACAAATTAGAAAAGCAGAAGTAGCACGCTGCAAAGTCTGGCGAGTTGGGGATGAGACAACATAAACGGGTGTGATAATTCGTTTTCCTTCAAATAAAGTAAATTCAAAACATGCAGTAAAGTGTGAGTGTTCAAAAATCGACAATTTAAACAATGTTCATTCTTGGTTTTCCAGTTGAGATGTCAATATACAAAATCTGCATGTCAGGAAAATGCTGACCATCTGATCTCTTAAAAAAAAACCAAAACAGGCCTCTTAATGATGCTTTTGAATTGGCCAGTAGAAAACATTAGTGACACATGAAGCACAGAGGCTCAGATCATAAATAAATTTGATACTTTACCTGAATGGGACCTGTAGTTCTGGTACAACTGATATATCCTTTTTGGTTTCCTAACACGCTGCTTCTTGTTCATGGAGTTCTTGCTTGCGTAATGAAACAGGGACCTCAGATCACTAAAACGAAAAGCAACTCCTTTCATTATGCTCTGGGCAGTGTCACCAGTTAGGAACATGGCATTAGGGTCATTGATGCATTTCATTAACAGCGCTAGCTCAGCTTGGGTGAAATCCTGTATCTCATCACCATAAAACTCATGGATGGACCACGGCAGCTCCCCGAGCTTTGAGAGTCTTTGAGATAAATTATACAGCAAATCTTCTTCATCAAAGTAACCTCTCTGAGATCGTATCTGCTGATAATGACAAAAGAGGTGATAGATTTCACTCCTGTCTTCTGTGAAGTTCGGTGATCTCTTTCGGCCTAGCTTTTTGTACTGCTCCTCAGTAAGTTCACCCCCAAAGCAACTCAGTGCCTCGAAAGAGCCTTTCAGAAATGATTTTATTTCTTTCCAAACCAGTGCTGGATTGTACATGCTTTTACCTTTTATCATTTTTGGCCATATTTCATTTGCAAATACATTGTAAGTCACAAAAGTCCGAGGATCACTTTCCCTAGAATATACATCTGCAGTTCCTTCATCATCACCACGTTCTGCTTCAACATTACCTTCTTCATCCTCATCTTGCCAATTTGGTACAACCAAGTCTTCCTGAGGACTCCAACCAACAATGGTTCTTTTAAGACTTCCATCTTCATTTCTCAGAAAAAAGGGGTCAGGCATGGATGCATCCAGTAACAGCAACAACTGCTTGGAGGTGACAAACAGCGGAAAATTTTCGTCTTTAATGTCTTGTAGCTTGTGAACATTTGGCTCCAGAGGCTTGAAGTGACTGGTTACCTTGGAAGACTTGCTAAGTTCAATGAAATTCTTCTGAACTTCTTGGCACAAGACAGGATTTTTGGTCACGAAAATCTGGTGCAGATGCTCCAGCTGGTTTGATGCTTCTGCGCTAATCTGCCTTTGGTCTTCTTTATGGTCATGACATAAATTGGCTTCTGCACTGGCTGTGCCCACAGGAACCTCTTCATCCTCGCTGCCCTGCTCTTGATCATCACTCACCTGCTCCTCACTCGAATCACCACTGTCCTGGTTCAGTTCACTCTCTTCCTCCTCCAACCTTGCTTTTTCAACCTCACTGCACTGTCTTTGCTGCCACGTTTGCCTCTCCAGCAGAGGACCATTCGCCAAGGTGGATTTTTCCCAGTATGAATAGAATTTCTTCCAAAGCCTGTACAAGCAGCAAGTTGTCTTCCCCGTCCCACTTCGCCCAATTAAAATGATTGGTTCCATGGGCTTTGGATTGAGGTCAATTACTGCATACTCCAACTCCCCAACTCGGAAAGGGTATTCAACAGAAGAATGGACATCATTTATAATGTTAAGCGCCATGTTAGTACTGAAGCTGTGAAATTTCATGATATTGTATTCTAATTCTGCTGCACTGGCTGGAGGGAAATACTCAGGTATGGGACGTTCTTTTGATTTTCCTGCCTCTAGGTCTTCAACGTAACAACGTGGAACGCGCTTCTCCGTTGTCACACTGTGGTTCTGATGCCCTTCGTTTATGCCCTTTAGCTTTTTCCTCAAGATGCAGGATAAACCCCGATTGTAAGAAATACATATATTATCTAAGACACGGTCCAGCTTGCAGTGGTCGAGAACAATGGCCCAAATTCTGATTATTTCTGTATAAACTCTACCCGATTTTTCTGGAAGACTTTTTGCCTGTTCCGTCTCCATAATTTTTTCCGCACTCTCGCTGCAACGAGGAGAAAAGTCAATCGCAAGTTCCCATAGCATTCTTGCACCCTTGCCCAACTTGGCTTCATACAGCTGGATATTGGCTTTCAAGTTTTTCAGTGGCTTCTGAAGGCCCCTAGTCCATTCCCCGTTGCCAAGCCGCTTAATTGTCTCTATAGTTTTAGTTTTCAGGTAATGAGGCACAGCTTTGCTGCCCAACGTCTTCAGCATTTCAGGAGTGCACTCTATTTCCCAGGTCATGTTATCAAACTCCTGCACATATGCCTCAATATCCAGAATCTTCCCCTTCTCTTCCTCTGGTTCTTCCTTCTCTCCATTAGGCAGGGCCATACTAAATTCCGCTGCTCTCTTCTTTTTCTCCCAATCATCCCCTTTTCTTTCAGGGTAAGAGGTGCTCCCACAAGGTTGCGAGGACTCGCTTCTTCCCTCTTCCAAATTAATCCGGGCTGAAGATGGCTTTTGTACCAGAGGGTGATCCTTTCTCAGAGTGTCACCCAATTTCAATTGCTGAATTAAAGCTGTGATTGCCTGCACTAAAGTTTCTCGCAACGTTAATGGGCTATTTATGCTTTCTGTTTCTTGCTTTGCCAGCTGACCTTTTTTTGTCTTTACAGAACATGAAGCTTTTAAATCATCCTGTGCTGCGTTGCCAGATGGAGCCTTTAATGAGGACGCAGATGCAGAACGCCCTGTGCTCTTTGGCTGGGGAATCTCAGAGGCTGGAATGGGTTTTGATGTTTTAACCGACTGCCCTGCTATATCCTGCCGGTACTTTTTTTTCTCCAGTGCAGCATTATTCCAGGCAAGTAGCAGTGGGTCATTTTTTTTAATTCTATGCCTCACATCTCTTCCATGTTTGTTTTTTATATTAAAGTTAACATCAAATTTTGCCAGCGACTCCATTATTTTCTTAGCCTGTTTCGAAAACCCTCTCTGAAAAACAACATGCATCACTGTATTTCCATCCTCATCTTGCACATTTGGATTAAGATAGGGGAAGTCAGAAGGTCTTGAAGCAAAGAGATCAAGTAGATAGTTCAGGATATTTAAACCAGTACCACCTGAAAGGAAGAGAACAAGTACAATAAAAAATCATTTGCTTTACAAGGCTGCTTGTAAAGCCAACAGTTTTTAATACTTTTTTTTATTCTGCAGCTATTAAATGAAAATTTGGTTTCAAAAGAAAAAATAATCTACGTTTCATGTTTGTAAAACATGCTTATTTGAAATGGCTCAAAACTGAGCTTTTCTAACATTGAGGGAAATCAACACAACAGCAGCAAAGCTTTAGAAATCCCTAGTGCTGCAATTGTTCCTGTAACATCAGCCAATTTCATTCCTTTTTTAACCTCTGGGTGCAGGCAGATTTGTTCATCTTCCAACATCAGCCCTGATTGCTACCCAGGGTAGGCTGGTGACTCTGGTCATCTGGACCAAGCAGAAGTTCTGGGTACTGCTCTGGAGTCACTTGGTTCACTTTAATATGCCAACCTGAAGTGTTCTGCTGCAGAGAGCTTTGGTTTTCTAAAATCATCTGTGGCAAATCCCAACTATTTCCTGATATCTGAGGTCCCTAAAGCAATTTCCTACAAAGTAAGGTTAGTCCAATACCCCCCTGGGGAAAAGAAAGAGAAAAATGAAAAGGAGGAGGGAAAGGAGGAGGGAAAGGAGGAGGGAAAGGAGGAGGGAAAGGAGGAGGGAAAGGAGGAGGGAAAGGAGGAGGGAAAGGAGGAGGGAAAGAAAAAGTTCTACAGTTTTCTGGATTTAATCCAGATAATGCGTGTGAAACATTTCTTTCCTAACTGTAAAAATAATGACACGCCAAAATAATTGTAAAGAAATTCCACCTTACAAACTTTACACAGTGAAAAATACTTAAGAGAAGACATTGTCATTGGACTTCTTAATCTTTTGATTTAAAATTTACAGTTGGCAGTATCTATGCTTTTAATCTCTTTAAAGCTATTAAATAATTTTTTTTTTTGCTTTAAAAATGAATAAATTCAGTATTTTTAATTATTTTAATCCTTCAGCTCAAAAATGCATTTTTTGTTAATTTAAAATCAATCCTGACTCTGGGGCTTAATTTGATAGTCTATCTTAATTTCTTACAGCTATCTCACTTCTGTGAACAAAGCTTAAGCTTGATTTTCAACGGGAAAAAAACTGGGAAACACATTTCCCGCATCTCTGTAGGATTTCCTTCAAAGTCTGCTGCTATTGCTCTGCCTTTACCTCTGTTTCTTTCCAGATCCTTCCCATTTACTTCTTTCCCACCCAGTGCACATTTCACAGGGTTTCAGAGAAGAGCCTTCCTTTCTAAATCAGGTTGATTAAACAAGAATATGTTCACAAAACAGTAACTGACAGAGATGTTACAGCTGTTTAACTCCCTCGGGTCACCTGAGCTGCCATTAAGTCTCCTCATAGTCCCAGCCACTGCAACCACAAAGGAGAGCACATCAGCTTAACAAAGACTGGGGGGCATCTTCTGGCCTGCAGATTTTGGGGCTGAGACACAGTCAAACATCATGATCTGCTCTTCTCACATGAGTAGACAGCAGAAGGGGCAGTGGGCTGGACAGGTAAGAAATGGGGTTGTTTTGAACAGTTGCTGCGAAAACGAACGGTGCACATCTGGCTAGAGGCCTCCAAAGCCCACAAAAGCCTTACCTTTATTATTTAAACAGATGGAAACCGCAGCATGCAAAGGACTATCTCCTGGTGCAACGGAGACATTTCGAGGATCGGCACCTTTGGTGAGCAGCAAATATGCCAGTTCAAAGTAATTCTTTTGGAGGCAGATTTGCAGCGGTATTTCAGAGCTGGTTCCAATCCCATCTGGCAGAGCTGGTGTGAAGGACACGAAAATACAAGGGGTTAAATCTGATATGCCAGATCTACAAACGACAGAAAATTCTAAACAGATGAAGGCACATGCTGATTACTGAGCTTTTTTCTCCATCAGCTTTTTACATGTTAAATGTACATCTGTTAGAGAGTTATTAATTAAGAAAATCTTCAGAGTGTCCTGTGATCTTCTATTAAGCTGAGCAACTAGTCTGCCTGCTGTGACAGGACAGAAAGGCCAGACCACATCTTCTTCAAGGAGGTCAGTCACTGTCTGAAACAAGCAGCCTCCCTGCACCTCTGGCACTCAGAAGGCTGAAGCAGGACTGTGCGTCCGTAGTTTGTAGCTAAGATCAAGTTATAAGACAAAATGAAAAATGCCAGAGAAATCCTAGGAATAAATCTCATGCAAAGCAAGAAAAATGATGATGTCTGCACTAGCCGAAAAAAAGACAGACATCTGGTCAGACCTTTGAAATCACTGCAGTAGTCAACTACTTGTAACCTAACAACAGGCTGAGCCCAAGATAATAATGTGGCTGGTGACAAAGAAATTAAAAACCAAAGAAACTACAGGCCAAGGAGCAACAAAAATCTTTGGTCTTTTACCTTTACCAACCCTGGCGGCCAAATTTCATTTGAAAACATCTTCTAACCCCATGTAGCCTTATGGAATCGCGGAATTGCGGGAGTTGGAAGGGACCTTCTAGAGATCATGTAGTCCAACTCCCAGAGCACACCACTCAGGATCCCATCCAGGTGGGGCTTGAAGATCTCCAGAGAAGGAGACTCCACACCCTCCCTGGGCAGCCTCTGCCAGGGCTCTGCCACCCTCACCCCAAACAAGTTCTTCCTCACACTGGAGTGGAACTTCCCATGGTCCAGCTTGTGCCCGTTGCCCCTCGTCCTGTCACTGGGAACCCCTGAAAAGAGTCCGGCTCCATCCTCCTTCCACCCACCCTTTAGATCCTTGGAAGCATGAAGAAGGTCTCCCCTCAGCCTTCTCTTCTCCAGGCTCAAGAGCCCCAGCTCTCTCAGCCTTTCCTCATCAGGGAGATGCTCCAACCCCTCCATCATCTCTGTTGCCCTACGCTGGACTCTCTCCAGCAGTTCCCTGTCTCTCTGGAACTGGGGAGCCCAGCACTGGAGGCAGGATTCCAGTTGTGGCCTCCCCAGTGCAGAGCAGAGGGGGAAGATGACCTCCCCCCGCCTCCTGGACACACTCTTCCCTACGCAGCCCAGGATCCCACTGGCCTCTTGGCCACAAGGGCACATTGCTGGCTCAGGGATAGTTTACTATCCACCAGGACCCCTAGATCCTTCTCCTCAGAAGTGTGAGCTTCACTATATTTGTCACAGTGGATGCAGCCAATGGACCACTCTCCAACCAGCTGCCGCATTTATACAGAGCCACAAAACAGGTGCATTGGTGTTTCTGGTGCCAAATAAAATATCAGATCTATTAGAACACATCAATATTGCGTAGTTTTTCACCTCCTCGTTCGATCAAGCATCTTATGAGGTTCTCTTGCTTGTCCCATCTGTCACACTGCTGGATAACATTGCCGATGTCCACGTCTGAAAGATCGCAGTTTTTGAAGAGTCCTCCCCCCGACAGCTCTTCCCCACTGGCTTTCCCTGTCAGCAGCAGCAAAACTCTCTGCCACATTTGCTTCTCCAGCAACTGTTTTACGAAGCTGTTGGCACAGGCATGGGAGATGTTGCAAACCACCCCTTCAGGGATTTCTGCAAGACAGTCAAGACAACATAACTCACTTAAACCACACAATAAAATCACTCTCACCGTAGGCTAATTGCAGGATAATGAACCCATTACAGAACAGAAAAATGCAACACTTGCATCTTTTTGTCCTGATGATGACAGCCAAATAAGTTGGAACATTTTGATTCATCATACTGAAATTCTGTGCATGTTCTGGTGGATTTCAGTGCAAAACACAACAGTAAATGTAAGTAAAAGCACATCTCCGGTAACATCAGTTGCAGAAACAGGGAAAGGAAGGAAAAGTTAGAGAGCAAAAACTGTATGTTTCTCATGTTTCTCACAACAATTAAGTTTTGTGAAGGGGAGAAATGGGAACTTGCTGTACCTTTCACAGAAGACAGCACTTTCAGAAATTGCTTAACTGCATCTTCCTTCCATACATTTTTATTATGTGCTCCATTCTCAAATTTGTAGAACTGGACGAACTGCTCAAGAACATTCTGGAGAGAATCTGTATCAGCTACATCTCTGCTTTCATTCCCCCCTGCAAAAGATCACAGAAATTGAAAAGCCAGTTCCTTGCTGGCATGTTTTCAGGGCAGGAGTGTAACACATTATATCTCAGGGCTCTGAGCAATGTGCAGTGGCAGGATAAAATCAGATGGCTGACACTCTTACTGCCAAAGCCAGCCCTGCGATGGACTTGGTATCCTGAAGGATATTTGATAAACTCACTGAATATATTCTTTACCAAAATACAATAAGCTGAAAATTTTAATGGTTTACAAGTTGATCTGCATGAAGGCAGGACACTGCTGCCTCACAATGATACCAGTGTTCAGACTTTAGAGTAGATGACTAAAAGCAGTAATGTTTTCAGCGTAGTTTTAATCAGCTGTCCTGAGCTTGGCTGATTCCTCAGTGGCATTTAAGAAATATCACCATAAAATAATTTGTCCTCCTAAAATACAAATACAAAAAAAACCCAAAACAACAAAACAAATAAAACCCTAACACATCAAAATCATACCTACAAGTTTAAGAGATACTTAGGTAATGGTAAATGGCAGATTATAAATTATGTCCTAATAAATACCCTTAAATGAAAGTTTAAAGGCTTGGCCTGAGTTTCCTAAAAGCTTTGAGGAATTCAACTACATCAGAGACCAAAAAAACCAGTAGCTTTATCCTTTAAGACAAAGAGACAGACAAGGTTGGTCATGTTTTTAGCAACGAGGACTAACCTCAGGCTGTTACCTGTAAAGCAGAGGCTTATTCTCCAGCCTCTCATTTTGCTCTTAAGCCTAGAAAATTCTTGGAGGCTGTGGATTGCCAAAACAAACAAACAAAAAATCTAACCACAAAAGACAGGCTGAGCTACCTGGAACACCAACCAAAGCGATTACCACCACAGTGGGATTGGTGTTAACCTCCTAAATGAGAACCACTGGGCTAAGGCCTTCTCCAGAGCAGAGATCTCTACAGTAAAGAAAAACTGGAAATCTGCTTGCCAGGAGCTGTAAGATGCAAGTGCAATGAAACCCAGTGCTTTCCAGTAAACTTATATGGAATACACGCCTGAAAATAGAGATGCAGCCTAAAAACTTTGCTTTTTGCCAGGTTTTATCTGCCTGCTCCATCTGTGCTTTGAGATTTGCATGACACAAGCAAGTTCTGGTTTCAATAGGTTATGCTTTGGCCTAATAGCACCTGTATTGCTAACACAAGTTCTGGTTGGTTTGTGCCAGGGCAAACAAGCAGATCAGGCACCAAGGCATCACAGAAAGGCTATACTGAAGAAATGCTTTCAAGATCAACAATTTCCACGCTTGGGACTCATTTTTAAAGAGCAGTCTAAACCGTGGCTTGAAAAGATCAGTTGCAGCATCTGAATCACATAGGATCACAGAATTATAAGGGCTTGGAAGGGACCTCTGGAGATCATCTAGTCCAACCCCCTGCCAAAGCAGGGCCACCCAGAGCAGGTTGCACAGGAACGTGCCCAGGTGGGGGTTCGAATGCCTCCAGAGATGGAGACTCCACCACCTCTCTGGGCAGCCTCTTCCAGGGCTCTGCCACCCTCAAAGGAAAGAAGTTCCTCCTCATATTTAGATGGAACTTCCTATGTTCCAAGTATGTGCCCATACCCTCTTGTCCTGTCCCTGGGCACCACTGAAAAAAGACTGGCCCCAACCTCTTGACACCCAGATCCCCCCTCTGTCTTCTCCAGGCCCAAGTCCCTCAGCCTCTCCTCGTAAGAGAGATGCTTCAGGCCCTTCCTCATCTTTGCGGTTCTGCTGTCCCCTCTCCAGCAGTTCCCTGTCCTTCTGGAACTGGGGAGCCCAGAACTGGACCCAGTGCTCCAGGTGGGGCCTCCCCAGGGCAGAGCAGAGGGGGACAATGACCTCCCTCCACCTGCTGGTCAGGAACATCTTGCCTAACCAGTCAATCCATCAGTTCTCACATAGATACTCACAAGAGCTTCTCTGAATGGTCACCTACGACCAAATCCTTGGCTGGAAATGTCTGTGGCCCAGTACAGTCTCTTTCAGAGTTAGGATGTAAGTAGCAACCAAGCCGTAACACCATGCTGCCAAGAAGGTGCATCTTGCAGAGAACCTCAGGTCTTGAAGGTAGAGAGCTCCCCACCTCCTGCCCCAACCAGCATCTCTCTGACTATACTGCAATACGGGCGGCTCAGGCTTGCTCCATTTGTTAGGGCAGACAAGAAACCATGTGAGTGTGAGCCAGTCTCAATACTGTCACACCGGGGTGGTATTGTACAATTCGTATGTTTTCTCATTCCTGCTTATTGCCATGGAAGAGCAAATTCCCATTATTTGGGCAATCACACTTGCTACGTTAGTTTCCAGAATGGAAAATTATAAAAAAGCAGACCAAGTAAAAATCCTTTTCAGGCTGTTATAAAAAAGCAGACTGGAAACGAGTTTATCACCCCAGTTCATAAAATTTCATATTGGCACTGGGACAATTAAGAACTGTGTCTTTCTGTATGACAACAGGTCCTTTGCAAACTGCCTAGAAATACCATTAATAATTTTTGAAAACGTTCTGTGAAGATACCCCGTACTCCAAGAGTGTAACTAAATTTTATCTCCCTTGCTTTGGTTATAAGAGGTTCTCATAGTTTGAGTCTGATAGTCTGCTCTGCTACTCTTTTGCCTTAATATTTGCAGAGGTTAAAATTTTCCAAGTAACACAGGAATTTTAGCTGCATATCAGCCACATAGGTCAAAGACGGCTAAAATTTTGTGAACGAGGAGCTCTTACTAAAATGTTACTGTTTTTTTTTTAAATGTCAGCAACTTTTCACTCATGTTTTCAACATTTCAAAGCTTCCCTTTTTTTATCAATATTTTTTTTTTGTTATTACAAGCATTTTAAATATGCCAGCAATACTTGAACAAAATGTTTCATCCAAAAACTGAAGCGAAGGCAAAAGGTTAAAACTAAAAAAGCACCAAAAAGAAGCAGTTTCTATGGCAGGGTGACCCTCATGTTAAAGATGAGGAAAAAAACCAACTACAGTGGCTTACAATAATTTAGACCAACTTGTAGTTATTTATTTCATGATATATGAAGAACATCAGCTGGACAGCATTCACCTTCAGGCAGGGACCAAACGTTCCTCATTGACAGACAGGAGATCAGGGTGACAACTTTTAAGAAAAGCTACATAAAAACCACCTACCATTACCAATTAGAAATAAAACCATTTTGTACCTAAAGGAGATAATTTTAAAACAGAAAAAGCACACAGCCCATGTAGTACCTGTCCTTTTCTCAGAGGAAGGGTGTTTCTCAATGTGATTGTTGACTGCTTTTACAGCATTGAAGTTTTTGTTCTTTTTCAAGAGATCTATGACGTATCTTGACCGTGCATCTGGAACAGTGGGATCAACCCCAAAATTCAGGAGCATGATCACATCTTCTGTTTGGCCTAAAACAATACATGAATAAACATTAGAGGAAGAAAAATTCTCATTCTTCAGGGGTTTACTTCTGTTTTCCTTTGTATTTTTAATTCTTTGGCACAATTTCTAGCATAACTTTAATTTAAAAAAAGGAAAAAAATATTCCACTGTCATAAGAATGAAGTATTATTAGGTATTTTTCCCCTAAAGAAACCCTTTCCAAAAAATTAAAACTCCATCTTCATTATTATTAACTGGGAAATGAGAGCACAGAAACACAAAGTGAATGGGTGCCTAATGAGCATCTCACCAGGCACAAATGTGGAATTCACCCCCTCCCTTATGCCCCAACCCTGTTCTCTAGCCTCTAGGCAAACTGCTCTGTACATAAAGGAAAAAAAAAAAAAAGCCAAAATAAGGGATTTTGCTACTGTTTGGAAGGTGATTCGATATACTAGAATATTTCACAGACTCAGGCATGAATATACACAGCTAGGCACCACGTTTCTTTCCTATGCAACATAAACCACATGATTTTCTGATGGATGTAAAGTTTTTCTTTCTATATATAAGTACTTATAAACATGATCTCTCTCCATAATATTATATATCCATTATATAACTATAAAAAACTTTATTAAATAAATATATATACTCTATAAATAATACTCATGTTAGATAAATATAAATATTGCTTCTCTTTGCACAGAGAAGCTGTGGAAGCCCCATCCCTGGAAGTGTTCAAGGCCAGGCTGGATGGGGCTTTAAGGAATCTGGTCTAGTGGAAGGTGTCCCTGCCCACGGCAGGGGAGTTGGAACCAGATTATCTTGAAGGTCCCTTCCCAACCCAAACCATTCTATGAAACAAACACATTTTTAAAAATGTATTTTCTCTATAATATATATTATATAAATGTAATTATAAATAATCTTTAATAAATAAATAAAGATATATACACACAGAGTATCTTCTGGAAATGGGAGTCATTTAGCGACAGACGGAACTTCCACAAAAGACACGTTACACCTTTCCAGAAAATGAAATTATTTAGATATAGGCTGCGGGCATTTCACTCATATTTTTAACAAGAACCACCAGAATGTCATCGCTTTTAATAACCTAAAAGTCTGGTGTTACCTTGGCATTGACGCTTATTTCTTGTTGCCACCCAGTGGGCACAGTAAGAAATACAAGAAAAAAAGCCAGGCCAAGTTAACATTAAATACAACAGAAAACATAAAAGGAAAGTATTTCATTTTCCTCCTCTGCCAAGGTACACCGCTACTTAGGTTTTATATCTTCACCTAAATAAAAGAACAGGACAGGTCTTCAGGTGGTCTAGTAGGATTTTAAGGGCACATCAAACTTTAAAAGGTAATTTCTATTGTGGGGGAAATCAAACCCAGTCAAAGAAAGAGCAAAGAAATTGGTCACAAGTCAGCTTTACAACATTTCCCTTTACAATTCTCTTTTAAAAGGGAATTGTTGAAGTGTTTAAATATTAGTAAGTCCACATTCAGATAAAAAGACTTTCCCATTTTCTTCCTTAGAATGAAATCGTTAACACCAGGCTCTGAAATTTTCTTCAATTACTCATTTTTCCAACTGAAAACAAAACACCACAAAACCAAAAAAAAATAATTGTATTTACTGCGTTTCTGGGAGTATTCACTGGAAGATGCCACAACATGCAGGAGGGTGCATCCATCTCTGTCGCGCTGGTTGATCCTATCCTTCAAGTCTGGCCTCTGAGTCAGTAACCACCTGAAGAGATTGTTCTTTCCTGAAATGATCAAAAAAACCCACTTGCTATAAATGTTAAACAGAGATACAGCAGAAACAGATCCTGGTTTTTCCCCCCCCTATGGCGTGGTAAGATACATCTGCATGAAACCTCTTCTCAAACACAGGGAGCAGGAGAGGGAATCAAAGAATGATGAATGAATGCTATGGAGTTGGAAGGGACCCCTGGAGATCATCTAGTCCAACCCCCTGCCAAAGCAGGTCCACCCAGAGCAGGTCCCACAGGAACGTGTCCAGGCAGGTTTGGAATGTCTCCAGAGAAGGAGACTCCACCACGTCTCTGGGCAGCCTCTTCCAGGGCTCTGCCACCCTCACAGGAAAGAAGTTCCTCCTCATGTTTAGATGGAACTTCTTATGTTATATGGAAGAAACATATGAATGAAACAGCGGTAAGAGCCAGCTGCATTGTGAAAGATGTGATGCTGTATGTGCAACTCTGAGATTGACTCACGACTCTTTAGCACATACTGAAAACTGTTGTTCCACACCAAGGTCGCAGGAGATCTTCAAGACCCGCCTGGATGCTCCTGAGTGATGTGCTCTGGGCAACCCTGCTTTGGCAGGGGAGTTGGACTACACAATCTCTAGAAGGTCCCTTCCAACTCTGACAATTTCATGATTCCGTGATTAGCTATTAGTTTAAAAAAAAAAAAAAAACAACCAATTTAAAAAGCTCTAGCTGTAATTTCTCTGACAAAGGCCATCGTTGTTTTGTTTTAGCTGCGGATGTCACTCACTTGCTCTGATACACAGTCTGATCACAGCATGAAGCAGATACACTCCAATGGTTTCAGCTTTTGCCCCCACGGAAATCAGCCACTTGACTAACTCCGCTACTTCTTGCATCTTCTCACCACGCCCATACAACTCAGAAGTCTGATAACAAAGAGAACAATTGCAACACTTTATTATACATCCTCATAAGCATTTCTTTTTAATCCTATTTCCATGTTTTTTATGACAATAAACAGTGGGAAAGTAACAACCAAGCTGTATCCACTGTAAAATTAAATATTTATTATATATGTAACAATTTCAGGACAAGCTTCTGAAATTTCAGGAGTTTTCAGGACTTTTCTCCTACGAGATATTCATGAATCTTAAAAGAAACTTGTCCTGTTCTGAAGAGTACTGAAACTGAAGTCTATTTTATAATAGTTCTATATTTCTTCTCTGTAATTGACTGCAAGTTTCTGCCTCACACTTGTCTAGTAAATGTTACTATACAGCAGTGCAAATACTGCTGTAACCAGATACTGTGTATTTTAAGCTTGGATGAGGCATCTCATGCAGGCAGTTACCCCAAAGCAAGAAAAGGCTGGGGAAATACTTGAAATTGGGAAAACTGAGTTAAACTGGGGGAAAGGGCTTTAGGGAACTCAGGCGACCAGTCTTTTTATAGCTCAGGAAGCCCGTGGCTCGAAAGCAGGGCAAAGACCTACTCTCATCCAGCTCAGCAAGCATCTGGCATTATTAAGACAACAATGATAATATGACAGCTTACGCGAAGGTGACATGTTTTTAGCCAGATAAACTCCTACAAGGTGATCTGATAAAAATATGGAATTTACAGGGAACTTTACAGACCAAGACTGAAAGCGCATAGCCTGAGCAGAAGGCAGCTGAACTGAAAAAGGATGTTCCATCAAGGACTTAATGAACATGAAGCGCAGTCCACAAGGGGTACAGCAATATGGGCAACTCGAGGTGGGCAGAAGAAGCTCAGAGGGAAATTAAGACACTACATCAAGGGATCAGGACATGAGGGGATGCTCGGAAACAGCGTTCAGACATAATTTCTCCCTTTGTGCCAGTCATCTTTTTAAATAGCAGTCTTCACACATGATTCCAACATCCACAAATATATCTTATTTTTTTTTTCCTAACACCTCATGCCAAATTTTGACTGGCAAGAATCACTGTTTGTGCGCAGTTACCAAATCAAAATACAACAAATGACAGGGAGTCTGGGGTGGCAGCAGGGGAAGTCTGCGTTGTCAGAAAGCCACGTTTTTCTAATTTCTGCAAAAGAGAAGCGATGCTTAGGGATCTTTCATTTCGATACTTCCAGCCTTCCACACACACACAACAAAGCCACTGGAATAGCTAGGACTGGTGGGGCCAACTCAGCAACGAAGGACGTGCTATTTTGCCACTTTTGTCCTCCCCTCTCAATGAAGCCTGTTGATTTGCTTATCTAGGAAGGAAGATTTTTGTGTTAAGACACCCTGCACGTGCCCTCTACTGCCCTGCCGTGCTTTACTGTCAGCACGAGGAGCACATGCACCACTCGCAGGACTTTTCTGTCGCTGTGCCCCAGGACAAGGTGCCACTGAGAGCTGCAACCCATGCTCAGGACCTGCTTTAATCCAAGGGTCTTGTGCCTTGTTCCCACCACGGCTACGCTACTCCAGCACCACAGCCCTGCTGCTGCCTGACCACAGGCCTGGCAGACCAGTTCTGATCCAAAACTCAACACTGACCCACCCTCTGTTCTCACAAAAAACTCAGCAAACACACCTGGGGTGATGGAGGGTAGCATAAAGTACCCATATGAGCTACTCTGCCAGCTCTAACACAGCAGACCTGTCTGATGAGACCTAACCAAGGCACACTTCTGTGTACTCATCCACTTGTTCTTCTGCTATCGCTATAAACAAGCCCAGGAAGAGATGGCGATGTATTTCACAGAACCATCATGGTTGGAAAGGACCTCTGAGATCACCGAGTCCAACCATACACACACATAAAAAAACCCCTACAATCTCAGCCACTAGAGCATGCCCTGAAGTGCCACATCTACACACTTCTCCAGGTATGGTGACTCCACCACCTCCCTGGGCAGGCCGTTCCAGTGCCTGACCACCCTCTCAGGAAAGTCATTCTTCCCAATATCTCATCTAAACCTCCCCCCTTCAGTCCATTTCCTCTGCTCCTGGCATTATTCCCCTGGGAGAAGAGGCCAACTCCCACCTCTCTACACCCTCCTTTCAGGGAGTTGTAGAGGGCAATGAGGTCTCCCCTCAGCCTCCTCTTCTCCAAACTAAACATGCCCAGTTTCCTCAGCCTCTCCTCGTAGGACTTGTTCTCCAGACCCCTCACCAGCTTGGTGACTCTTGTCTGGACCTGCTCCAGCCTCTCAAGTTCTTTTTTGTGGGAAGGGGCTCAAAACTGGACACAGCCCTCGAGGTGGGGCTGGTCCCAGGGGGACCAGCACCTCCTGACTCCTACTCCCCACGCTGTTCCTGACACAGGCCAGGATGCTGGTGGCCTTCTTGGCCACCTGGGCACACTGCTGGCTCATCTTCAGCCCACAGGCGACCAACACCCCCAGGTCCTTTTCTGCCAGGCAGCTCCAGCCACTCTGCCCCCAGCCTGTAGTGCTGCCTGGGGTTGTTGTGACCAAAATGCAGGACCCAGCACTTGGCCTTATTTCTTTGCCGCCTTCTTTTTCAGAATTTCTCTCGCTGGCTTTGTCAGGCACCCAACTGAAACGTGTTTAAGGAAAAAGCTCCAACTTGAAACTACTATTGCAAAAGTAGCAGAAGCACTGTTAACACCCAAATGACAAATTATGTTATATTCCATCAATATACCCTAAAACTGCTAATTTGCCAGCCAGTAAATGCCAAGAACATGTACTGCGTAGCCTACAGTTAACACTTTCTAAAGTTTCCATCAGGAAAATCAGTGCTGTAAGAAATCTACTATACTTCAGCACACAGCCAGATGAACTTTCTCAATGAATGTGTAACTGTATCTTTTAAAAGCAGGTTACACACAGCAGAACTATAATTAACTTATACACACAAAGAAATGGAAGAATAAAACAAAACAAAAAAAAATGCATACAGAAAGGCATTTTTTAATGGCCCAGAAGAAATGCTTTACGTCACTACAGTTGAAACAGGCTGGGCATCCACCACATGGTAACACACGTACGCTGTGAGATGCCTTTAGAAAGCTGGTGTGCTACTGATATGGACCACCAGCAGCTCCTGGCTCACAGTCGGGTTCCAGCTATACCCTGGTGGGGGCAGAAGCAATAGTTGCCCACCCCTTCACACATTCCAAGCATTCTGGTGGGATTCCCCTGCACAAAGGGTGCAGTGAGCCCTACAAGGCCACCTAGCTCACAGGTTGGTCTCTTCTCTCGAGTCCCAGGTGATGGCACAAGAGGAAATGGCCTCAAGTTGTGCCAGGGGCGGTCTCTTCTCTTGAGTCCCAGGTGATGGGACAAGAGGAAATGGCCTCAAGTTGCCCCAGGGGAGGTTCAGATTGGAGATTAGGAGAAATGTTTCCACGGAAAGGGTTATTGCACATTGGACTGGGCTGCCCAGGGCAGTGGTTGAGGCCCCATCCCTGGAGGGATTGAAAAGCCGGGTTGACCTAGTGCTTAGAGACATGGTTTAGTGATGGTTTTGATCAGAGTGAGGTTGATGGTTGGACTAGATGATCTGAAAGGGCAAGGGAGCTGGTGAGGGGTCTGGAGCACAAGTCTTGTGAGGAGAGGCTGAGGGAGCTGGGGGTGTTGAGCCTGGAGAAAAGGAGGCTGAGGGGAGACCTTCTGGCTCTCTCCAACTCCCTGAAAGGAGGGTGTAGCCAGGGGGGGTCGGTCTCTTCTCCCAAGTCCCAGGCCATGGGTCAAGAGGAAATGGCCTCAAGTTGCCCCAGGGGAGGTTCAGATTGGAGATCAGGAAAAATGTTTCCATGGAAAGGGTTCTTAAGCCTTGGACTGGGCTGCCCAGGGCAGTGGTTGAGGCCCCATCCCTAGAGGTATTGAAAAGCCGGGTTGACCTAGTGCTTAGAGACATGGTTTAGTGATTGTTTTGATCAGAGTGAGGTTGATGGTTGGACTAGATGATCTGAAAGGTCCCTTCCAACCTGGACAATTCTATGATCCTATGCGTGAGTAGGGCAGTTTCTGACTGCTGGAAGATTTGGTTTTATCCTGCCAAAGCTTTCTATGCTGGAAGTTCCCAAATGCTGCAGAACATGAGGAATCACAAGATGAAGAAAAGAGCAAGTTTCAGAAGAACAACATTAAGATCAAATTCTGCTGTCTGCACGTGCCATCATCTCAGTCAAAGGCACTAGAAATTGTGGCTACTTGGTCCATAGCCACATGTATCCACCTTGCCAAATTCCTCTAAGTCATTTGGAAAATGCCAAAGCCTTTAGGGAGAAATCCTGGCAGCTGCTGCTTAGCTATAACGCAACCTACCAAAAATTTGGGGTGTTGAGGGAAGGGAAAATTCCAGCACTGCACCCAGCTCAATTCTGTAATCATACTCGGCACCATGAAGCAGTTGAGAGACAGGCTAGCAAAGTATAATAACACCCTATCCCAAGGATGTCATAAATTTTCCTGGTTGGAAAACATACCCAATTTAACCGACATTGAACATTTTTCAGCACTGAATTCTCAAGTTCCAAGCATGACATGAATAACTTGCTGTACCTGACAGGGAAATTATTCCTTTTGATTAAATTAAAAGAAACACTGAATTACACACAGGACTTATGTTAATTAAGGATTTTTAAATGTTCAAATGAAAAGGGACAAAATAGATGATTTAACATAATCTGATACAAAGTCCATGTATGATTTTCTATTTTATTTTTCTTTGATCTGTTTCAGCCTTGCACACGAGATGGAAAATCTTTCACTAAAGTAAGGAGGAAGAAAAGAAATAGACACAGGAAGAAAATGGGAAAAAAAAAAGGATGTTATTTTACCTCAAAGAGATTCCTCAGGGATACCTGGTTGACTCTGAGATTGGCAGGCAATGCTTTCTTCTCGGACAGCAACAGAAGACAAGACTGGAAAAAAAACACCACATCAGCGATTTTATAAGCACACTTAGAAACTTTGTTTTTCACTGCCTCATCAGATCTTGTAGGAAAACAAGCAAGGGCTGACAACATTTCAGATCATTTTTTTAAGACCATAACAAATTACCGAATTTCCCTTTCCATTTATCAACTGAATCAATGTAATATACAGCAGACTGTGGAAAGCTATGACCAATTAAATTGTCCTCTGAAATAAAAAAACATGTAGAAAGGGCAAGCCCTAAAAGTCCCTCCAATACATCTTGGAAGTGACCCTTTGCTTTAGGAATGGACCTTTATATTCGCGAGGATGAGACTCCCCAGCTACACCAACATCCTGAGCAGAGGGCAAGAAATGCATACTCCATCTTTTTCCATTTTCTCAGTTTCCTCAAAAACTCTACCTTGCTTCTTGAAAACCCACCTAACTTCTCCAGAAGACAAGGGAAGAACTATGGACTATCTATATGGACTTCCGTAAGGTCTCTGATACAGTCCCCCACAACATTCTTAGCTCTAAATTGGAGAAATAAGGGTTTGATGGGTAAGAAATTGACTTGATGGGTGCATCTATAGTCAATGGCTCAGCATGCAAGTGGAAACCAATAACAAGGCATGTCCCTCAAAGGTCTGTACTGGGACCAGTACTATTTAATATCTTCATCAATGACATAGACGTGATGTATGTGGTGCATCACTCAGCAAGTTTGCAGATGGTACCAAGGCTGAGTGATGCAGTTGATACGCTTAAGGAATGCGATGCCATCCAGAGGGACCTTGACAGGCTCAAGGAGTGGGCCCATGTGAATCTCATAAAGTTCAACAAGGCCAAGAGCAAGGTCAGGGCAATCCCCAGTATCAAATATAGAATGGGGGATGAATGGATTGAGCGCAGTCCTGTGGAGAAGGACTTGGGGGAAATGGTGGATGAAAAATTGGATACAAGTCAGCAATGTGTGCTTGTAGCCCAGAAAGCCAACTGTGCCAAGTGTGGCGAGCAGGTAGAGGGAGGTGACTCTCACTCTGTACTCTTACTCTAGTGAGACCCCACCTGGACTACTGCGTTCAGCTCTAGGGTGCCCAGCAGAGAAAAAACATGGACCTGTTGGAGCAAGTCCAGAGAAAGGCCAGGAAGATCATCAGAGGGATGGAGCACCTCCCCTGTAAAGAAAAGCTGAGAGTGTTGGCATTGTTCAGCCCAGAGAATAGAAGGCTCCAGGGAGATCTTATTGCAGCCTTTCGATATATAACAGTTTTAACCTGAAAGAGGGTAGGTTTAAATTGGACATAAGGAAGACATTTTTTACAGGTGGTGATACAATGGAACAGGTTGCCCAGAGAAGATGTGGATGCCCCATCATTGGAAGTGTTCAATGCCAGGTTGGACTGCGCTTTAAACAACCTGGGCTGATGGTAGGTGTTCCTGCCCAGGGCAGGGGGGTTGGACAGGGAATGTGGGACTGTGGTCTGTTCATAGCTCCCTCCTCCTTATGTGTCCTTTCTGCTCCAGCATGGCTCCTCCATGGGCTGTGGTTCCTGTCAGGAGCCTGCTCCTGCACGGCCTCTCCACAGGCCGCAAGGGAACTTCAGCACCTCATCCCGCTCCTTACTCTCCTTCTCCGACCCTGCTCACAGGGCTGTTTCTCTCACTTTTTTCCGCCTCACTCTGCTGGACAGGATTTTACCCTTTTTAAAAGACGTTTTCCTCGAGGTGCCACTGTGGTGGCTGTGGGGCTGAGCTGTGCCCTGCGGTGGGGCCACTGGAGCCAGCTGGGCCTGGCCCTGCCCGGCCCAGGGCAGCCCCGGCCTCCCCTCACAGAGACCCCTGTGCTGGAATCACCACCCACACCCCGGACGGGTGTAATCGTAACAATGATCAATTTTTTTTTTTTTTTTTACACTGTCACTATAGAGAAGATGATAAAAATAATTTTAGGTGATTCACTTTTGGTTTTCTAAATGATCTGGTTTTGTTTAACAACCATGTGATTCCACCGAGATGCTCCTTTATTTGTGGGTCTTTCACAGAAGACCTTTTCCTGCTGTCAGACAGAAGGAAAAGTAAAAGGGACCACAAATCACAGAATCATAGAATGGTTATAGTTGGAAGGGACCTTAAAGGTCATCCAGTTTCAACCCCCTGCCATGGGCAGGGACACCTCCCACCAGACCAGGTTGCTCCAAGCCCCATCCAGCCTGGCTATGAACCCCTCCAGGGATGGGGCAGCCACAGCCTTCTCTGGGCAACCTGTTCCAGTGCCTCACCACCCTCACAGCAAAGAATTTCTTCCTAATATGTAATCTAAATCTCCCCTCTTTCAGTTTAAAAACATTATCCCTTGTCCTATCACTACACTCCATGATAAAGAGTTCCTCCCTACCTTTCCTGTAGGCCCCCTTTAGGTATTGGAAGGCTGCTATAAGGTCTCCCTAATGAAATGTAAGGTCTCACTTAAATAAAAAAATAAACATGTATTTCCCCCCGCCAAATTCTTTCAAGAAAAATGACTCCAGATGGCACCGTAATTCTACTAGAGACAATAGCAAGACACAAGCGGAATTTCAAGTTCATTGTATCCCTTCGAGAAACAAATTTCAAAAATTATTTATCACTGGTGGTATTTTTTCAAGTCTTTGAAAAAATCCAGATGTTTGATGTGGGGGACAGTAAATATCAACTGGTTTGGACTGTGCAGGTAAGGGGAGCTCCCCCGGAGGAGATAAGACATGAGTGGCCACAGCGCCGCAGCCCCAGACTCACCCGCCACTTCCCTTTCTGGGCCAGCCTTTCTATCACAGCTTGCCAGATGAGGGCATCGAACCTTGCGCTGAAAATATAGTCATATGCAGGGGGAAAACTTGGTGGAAAGACTCGCTCATCTGCAAGAATAAGCCATCAAGAAAACTGCTTAGTATACACAGCATTTTAAAGTGGGGGTCTCCAACCAAATGACCTGATTGCACAGTGACAAGTTTCAGCACTAACACCCAGGAGAATGCCAAATGTTGGCTTAAATATCCCTGGCCACCCAACTGATACTGTTGATACCCAACTGATACGGCCACCCAACTGGCCATCATCAGTGACCAGTCTTCATTAAACAAGGGGGGGAAAAAAATGAATCCCTCTCCTCAAGAAACACCTCTAAGCCCCAAGACATTGTGAACCTTGTGGTGGTTCTTCTACTTGTGGGTGAGCCCAGCTATGGATGCTGCTAAAGATAATGAAGGTCCTTAACACAGGGCTATGAGTTCAAGTAAACGCAGCAGGGGCACAACCTGGAATCTCCTGGCACACCTGCAGATGGTGGACCAAAAAGCAAGTGGAAGAGGGGAGAACAGGGAAACATAGGGTGAATATTGCCCGCCAAAAAAACCACAGAAGGGCCAAATTCCCTCTTTTCATTGCCACCTATTACTGGCTGAGGGAAAGTCCCGCACACTGGCATACGCTGCACTGTAAACTGAAGTTTAGGCTGATTATCTTCTAATTATTTTCAAATCTACGTAGCTGAAAGAAAAACATAGTAGTTTGGACAAAAACCATTAAGACCTTAGGGGTCTGGAGCTCCAAATCTCCAACCCTGTTTCCCTGAATCTGAATTTCAACCTTTTCTAACTATTCGACAACTGACATGCTCCTGTGAGGCAATGCAATCCCCTACAGAGTGTTTTGGGACTGTTGGCATCTGCTGTGCACAAAGTGGACCAAGTTCCCCACATCCTTTTGATTAGGCCACCCTACATATTCACAGTCCTCCAACACCTGTGGCACTAAGGACCAAATGAATGATCTCAGGAAGAGAACACCCTACCAAGTACTTGGGTTGCCATCACTACTGAAAGGCTCTCAGAAAAATTAAGGTCTTGAGTTTACCATTGACACTTATGAAGATTCCTGCTATGAAGTCAGAGATTTGAGTTCGATCGGCCGAAGCACTCAGGAGAATCAAACCTTTATGAAACATAGAAATCGCTTCACAAGATTTTGATAACATGATCAGTGAGTGGCCAGCTCGATAATAAGCCTGGAATAAAAAATAGGAGACAACAAAGACCATTGTTGGGAAACTGTTCAGAGATCTTTACTACAAACAAAAATGTTACAATTTTTTCCTAAAGTTTCTAATTATGGTATAAAAATGACATAAAGTACTATTTTTACAGCTTCTTACACACAGATTCAAAAAAAGGGCAATAAGCATCCCTTGAAATTCACAGTATGCTACTGATGTCATCAAAGACACTAGGAGTGATAATTTTTGAATACAACGTTGGAAAATAACTACAGGATGAAAGACATACTGTTAGCAACTATATTGTAACCTCCTCTGGACAGGATTTTTTTTTTTTCTTGTCACAAGGTCCAGAATATATGTTTATGTTTCCATGTCACTGCATTTTGCAGTATTTACCACAATGCATATATATATTCTTCAGCCAGTGGCAGCTGAACACATTTATATTCACCACTGAACTAGACCATACTGGCTCACAGTCACAGTAAAACCAATTTTTCAAACCAGATAACCAGCATGCTGCAATAAAAAGCAAGTTAAATTGATATTTCCATGCAATTTTATCATATCTAAATCAAATACCTTCTACTAAAGTATCTTGGAGGCTGCAGTGGTTGGTGCAGACTATTTATTGTACAAAAGAATCAATCCAAGGGTATGCCTCCGCATCGTAAATATTGTACAACCACTGCTAAATCCTAGCAGACAAGTATTTGAGTCAATGTGTACTTAATCAACGTGTACTTCATCTCAAGTGTCTGTGTAGTGTATTGTTCTTGTCCACTGGAAATACAATACAACCTCGATCACCATGTACTTTTCCCAGGAACTGCAGGCTTATTAACATGTAAAGAATATCAGGGCACGCTGCCCAAGGGAGCCTTCAAAGCTAAGTCCCCACGCCAGACCTGATGCTGTCAGTGACTGATGAGTCTGAACCCCGGGCCAGGCTCTGTGAGACCATAAGTGAACACAGAGATGATGAACCTCACCATGGCTGGGATCTGCAGAGACCTGGCTGGAGCTGCCTCACGCCCGGGTCTCCAGGATCACAAGGGCACGTAAGATTTTCATTACTTGCTATCACCTTGCCTGGGATTATCAATAAACCAGCTGTCTTTCTTGAAAGCATCGGTGCCTCTCTTGTTGGGACCCAGAAACAACCAGCATCTCCTGGTGCAAAAGAGAGCTGCTTCATTTTATTTAAAGTACTATTACAGTATAATTCTGATGCTCAGGTATAAGGTCAGACACAGATTCTGGAATTTGATGTTATGTTTGCTTATCACAACTCAAAACCATCACACAATAAAAAGCAGATAGCGACACCCGTTTTAAAAAGCAAGGCATGCAAAAACTGCCAGCTTCAACATCTGAATACCTTGACATACTCCGGATCCCAGTGTAAACTCTGGTAGGCTGAAAACACTGCTTCTGTCCATTTACCGAGGCTGTACAAGGCAGTGGATTTGTTGCAGTGTAACACAGCTATGTCCCTGGAACACCTAAAAATACATTTTTAGCATAAGTGTTTATTCACTTGAAAAAGGACACATCATACTTTATGGCTAGCAACAAGGAAAAAAAAAAAAAAGTCCACCTAATACCCACTTAACAAAATCAGAGGTAAAAACAGAGCTGTAGAAAATAAAGATGATTTTTTTTTATTGTTTATTATTTATCGTTTATTATCATCAGCTATAAAATCTCGTAGTGACATCTTAACTGACACCTTAGTGATACCCTTAGTGATATCCTAGTCTCTTCTGAAGCTGAAAGCCAACTCACTGGAGTAACACAGTATGAAGATTTAGAAAGACTTCAGGACCATCTCGACACTCCTAGATATGGCCCAGTGAAAGCCAGTGACCAAGAATGGGAGAAAACAGATCCAGGAATGGAAGCTGCTAGATGGAAAGGATGCTAAACTCATTTTGGTCACCAAAAACCAACCCACACGCATTTTACTGTATCACCAGTTGATGAAGTCAACAGAATTGTCCACATTCACACCAGCTAAGAAACAAAGAAATGTGTTTTAGAGAACAGAATATACTAAAGTATATAAAGCATCTGCTGGATCCAAGAGAGTTTCTGCAAAGAGCTGCACACAAATTATAGGACTACAGCCCAGAGGGTACCAGGGAGTCTGGAAAGCCTGTCTTGCCTGTGCTCACAGAATCAGAGAAACGCAGAATGCTATGGGGCTGGAAGGAACCTATGGAGGTCATCTAGTCCAACCAAAGCAGGTCCATCCAGAGCAGGTCCCACAGGAACGTGTCAAGGCACGGTTTGAATGTCTCCAGAGAAGGAGACTCCACCCCCTCCCTGGGCAGCCTCTGCCAGGGCTCTGCCACCCTCACAGTGAAGAAGTTCCTCCTCATGTTTAGACGGAACTTCTTATGGACAAGTTTGGGTCCATTTCCTCTTGTCCTGTCCCTGGGCACCACTGAAAAAAGACTGGCCCCATCCTCCTGACACCCACCCTTGAAGTATTTATAGGTGTTGATCAGATCCCCCCTCAGCCTTCTCTTCTCCAGACTAAAAAGACCCAAGTCTCTCAGCCTTTCCTCCTAAGAGAGATGCTCCAGGGGTTGGTGTAGCATCAAAGACGATGCTACATCATCTTTGCTGTACCCTCTCCAGCAGTTCCTTGTCCCTCTGGAACTGGGGAGCCCAGAATTGCTCATACAAAGTCCATGCCGCAGAGCTGCATCCTTCAACTTACTCCTATCTACTAATTTCCACTGAAGAAAGTTCTTTCAATCACACTTGAACGTGTTTGGAGCACACTCTTGCAGGCAAGCACATCCTGCCAAGGCAACCTATGGCAAGGGGAAAGGAGATGCTCAGGAGCAGCCTGCTCAGCTCTGTCCTCACTCGCTCCTAACTCCCTGTACACACCCCAGACTTATTTTACTACTTAGATGAAACAGCTAATAGTCAAAATAAACAAATGGCTGGTGTTAAATTAGATCAACAGCAGTGTTAATACACAGTAGTAATGAATATTTAATAGTTCACATAAAACTCAACTATTTAATCATTAGTAACATTCGCGACGGATGTAAACTGATGAAAACAAGCACTTTACATTTGGAAAGAAATACCCAAAGAATCCTTCCGCTAAAAAAATACTTTTAACAAATATGAGAATATTAAGACAGACCAAGTAAGAAGAATAAAGTAACTTGTGTGAATCATTTTAAAGATAACCAGATGACCCATGTAACAACAGGCCACAGACGTGACAATTAAGTGGCAGAATCACAGCAAGATTAATCCACAGCGTATCAGCTAAGAAACAGAAGTAATTTAACCAAAACCAACACAGTTTATGAAAAATTAATTTGAGCTTTAATTACACTAATTTAGAATTGATGCTTATCTAAAAATATTCAGATTACAGTCACTAACCAAACTCCCACATATGTCAGGAACAGCAATTCCTCTTTAATTCTAAAACCGGTACACTAAAGAGCGTGGAAAAAGATAGGAAAAAATCAGGTCTCAAGGCAAGAAATACAGTTTTGAGTTAACTGTAGTATTATGCAAATTTCAGAATTGTCTTATGGTTTTACAACTTGTAATTCAAGAATACTTACGGGACCCATTGTATTAAACAGTTGAGCATATATAGAGCTTGATCGTACTTTCTGATGGCCAAAGAGTAATTTCCATTTTTAAAATCCTGGTTCCCAGCTTGTCTCATGAACTGTGCATACTCCATGGTATCCATGCTAATTAAGAGGGAAAAAAAAATAATCAAACAAAAGCATTGATTTATGAGACACTTCTTTGCCTTAAATCCACTTAAATTTTCACCTTAGTTTTTGCATATTTGAAAAGCTGGACAAAAGAGCACATGTTTTGTCATCCCACATGACATCCCGGTCTCAATATTGGAAAGTCATGGATTTGAGGGATGGACCACTAGGTGGATAAGGAACTGGCTGGATGGCCACACGTAAAGAGTTGTGGTCAATGGCTCAATGTTCAAGTGGAAGCCAGCGACGGGTGGTGTCCCTGAGGGGTTGGTACTGGGACCAGTGCTGTTCCACATCTTCGTCGGAGACAGGGACAGCAGGACTGAGTGCACCCTCAGCAAGTTTGCTGACAACACCAAGCTGTGCGGTGCAATCAACACGCTGGAGGGAAGGGATGCCATCCAGAGGGACCTGCACAGGCTGGAGAGGTGGGCCCATATGAACCTCATGAAGTTCACCCAAGACAAGTGCAAGGTTCTGCACCTGGGACATAGCAATCCCAGGCACAAATACAGGTTGGATGGAAAATGGATTGAGAGCAGTCCTGAGGAGAAGGACTTGGGAGTGCTCGTGGATGAGAAGCTCAACATGATCTGGCAACGTGCACTGGCAGCCCAGAAAGCCAACTGCATCCTGGGCTGCATCAAGAGAAGCGTGGCCAGCAGATCCCGGGAGGTGATTCTGCCCCTCTGCTCTGCTCTGGTGAGACCCCACCTGGAGCACTGTGTCCAGCTTTGGAGTCCTCAGCACAGGAAGGACATGGAGCTGTTGGAACAGGTCCAGTGGAGGGCCACAAAGATGCTCAGAGGGCTGGAGCACCTCTGCTATAAGGACTGGCTGAGAGAGTTGGGGTTGTTCAGCCTGGAGAAGAGAAGGCTCTGGGGAAACCTCATAGCAGCCTTCCAGTACCTGAAGGGGCTACAGGAGAGATGGGGAGGGACTCTTAATCAGGGAGTGGAGCCATAGGACAAGGGGTAATGGTTTTAAATGGAAAGAGGGGAGATTTAGGTTAAATACTAGAAAGAAATTCTTTGCTGTGAGGGTGGTGAGACACTGGAACAGGTTGCCCAGAGAAGCTGTGGCTGCCCCATCCCTGGAGGGGTTCAAGGCCAGGCTGGATGGGGCTTGGAGCAACCTGGTCTGGTGGGAGGTGTCCCTGCCCAGGGCAGGGGGTTGGAACTTTATGACCTTTAAGGTCCCTTCCAACTCTAACCATTCTATGATCTTGCAAGCGCAAAACACATCTCACTCCTGAGATGGGATTTATACCTGCACTGAGTCTAGTGTGCAAGGGTTACTACATCTGTACTTCGGAAGTCAGGTGTGAGATTTCTCAGTTACGGCTGTGCTTTCAAGAGACACCAAATGGGTACTGGTGCACCAAGCGAGAAAGAACATCCCATGCTACTCTTGATTTCATACCAAACGTTCTCTGTCATGAACTGGTGATTGTAGGGCACAGACATTGTCAGAAACAAGACCTATGTCCTTATTAACATTTGGCAAATGCACCCCAGGATGTGATTAGCATAGATGTCGCCATGGCCTGTTAATACCTCGAAATGCTATGTACAAATTAGATAAGAAAGAGATGTGTGCAAGGTCTGGATGAATCAAGGGGCACAGGCAGAGTAACAGAATCATAGAATTGTCCAGGTTGGAAGGGACCTTTCAGATCATCCAGTCCAACCATCAACCCAACTCTGATCAAAACCATCACTAAACCATGTCTCTAAGCACTAGGTCAAGCCGGCTTTTCAATATCTCCAGGGATGGGGCCTCAACCACTGCCCTGGGCAGCCCAGTCCAAGGCTTAAGAACCCTTTCTGTGGAAACATTTCTCCTAATCTCCAATCTGAACCCCCCTGGGGCAACTTGAGGCCATTTCCTCTTGTCCCATGGCCTGTTCCTTGGGAGAAGAGACCGACCCCCCCTGGCTACACCCTCCTTTCAGGGAGTTGGAGAGAGCCAGAAGGTCTCCCCTCAGCCTCCTTTTCTCCAGGCTCAACACCCCCAGCTCCCTCAGCCTCTCCTCACAAGACTTGTGCTCCACACCCCTCACCAGCTCCATTGCCCTTCTCTGGACCTGCTCCAGCCCCTCAAGGTCTTTTTTGTGGGAAGGGGCCCAAAACTGGACACAGCCCTCGAGGTGGGGCCTCACCAGTGCCCAGTCCAGGGGGACCAGCACCTCCCGAGTCCTCCTCCCCACGCTGTTCCTGACACAGGCCAGGAAAATGTAAACATAAGAAAACTCAAGCTGTGACCTAGGACCCTGCTGACCTGAATGACGTCCTGAGGTCCTCCTCTTCTCCAGATTACCACCATACATTGGTTTCTATTTATCCAAACTGTTATAAAGCAATTACTACCAATAACAAAGTCCAGCTGCCTGACGGCCCCGGCTAACCGCCTACCAAACTCAGGTAGCTGACCTTGCTTGGCAGTTCAGTTCCTCTTCAGATGCATGACCAGCAAACGAGACCACAGAAACAGGACCCAAACCCAGCCAGAGGTAGTACAATGCCAGCACTGCCTCGTACTTGCAGTAACCCAAGCAAAACCTCAAGACAAGGATGCTATTAAAATGTTACACATAAACCCCCAAGAGAAGGGATTTGTGGTTGAAAGGTACCAGGCCAGGAAGCAACGCAGCAAGGAAACGGAAATGAAAATCACGTCACCAAGAACAAAATGACACTTTCCAGTTCCTATCCCAGGAAAGGAGATGGGCACAAACACTCCAGGACAGCAGCTCTGTACCTGCCTCCTACCACAAGCACTCCCTGTGAAACTGGAGTTTTACATCCATGAACACGACAACAGAAACCTGACAGACTGGCTCCTACAGACCACTTGGGATGGCCTGAGTCTGTCCATGGTCCCTAAGCCCTTTTGGAAAATTACAAGGAAAAATAACGCTACTGAAAGACCAAAAACAAACAAACAAACAAAAATATCACAGCACACTCAGTTTACAGGGAAGAACTCAAGGCCTTGACCATGACCATGGGGGCTTATAACCTTATGGATGTAGGAGCATAAATCTCCCAGAAGGTCACGTCATTGAAATTACACCCCATTTTGGGAAGCCCCCTAGAAAAACTACAAGAAAAAAATAACACTACTGAAAGACACCCCCCCCCCAAAAAAAAAATCCCAGCCCTCTCAGCTTACAGGCAAGAACTCAACGCATTGCTGATCAATTTGGAAACACAGGTCCTCTCAGGAGGCTGTAACACATCATCCTGGATTTCAGGTGGCATCTAGGAATGTCCTTCCTCCTTTCCTCACAAGCTGAACTCATGCCAAGCGCACGTGGAGTAGCTGTCATTGAAGACTGCTTCACAGCTTGCACCAGCAACAGGTTTGGCCTTGTTCCCCAGCACATCCTGTTTTGGAAAGTGAAGCCAAACAATCTGGCTTTTGCTTTCAGTTTCTAATAATTCCTCCCCTCTTTGTAACCTGCCGGTACCAAGCTACACCTTGATATAAGAGACAGTATGGTAAAGGCCAGTGTCGAGGTTTAGGCTGGGCTGGCCATTAAATAAACCAGATGATGTCTAGTAGTCCCTCTCCCTTCGCAGAAGGAAGGGAGAGAGAATAAGGGTTGGGGAAAAAAAAAAAAAAAAAACAACAAAAAAACAGCTTTAATGAAATATTAACAATAAAAAGAAAAGATAATACTATTAGTAAGAAAATAATGAAATAGATAAAAAACCAATATTGAGCTCCCAGTATGACAATCACATCACCAAAAGGCACTGGGAGAAAGAAACAGGATTCAAGAACTGCATTCAGGAACACAAGGATCAGGACCAAAAGGCAGAAGAACAGACAGGGTTCTCCTCAGACACCGGCCATTGAAAAAGATGGGAGCTGATCCCTTGATCCCTCAGCTTTTATCCTGAGCACGGGGTGGGTGGGATGGAACACCCTGCTGGTCAGTTTTGGGTCACTTGTCCTGTCTGCTCCTCCCTACAGGTGGGACCCCTCCATGCTCTTCTGCTTCCAGCTCTCCAACGGGGCACACAAAGAAGTTAGCTGACCTTGGTCGCTATAGGAATAAGTATGGGCAAGGGCCTCCCCACATACCATTCTTTAGCATTAACTATAAACATCAGAGGTTATCACCACGAGAAGCAGTGACAGTCTGAAAAACACACTCAGAGAGTGTGCTTCATTGGAACAGACCTCACTGAAAAGTAAAATTACTCAAAAGGAAAACTGGTTATATCACAAACCAGGACAGAAACAAAACAAGGCTTTTTTTTTTTTTTTTTTTTTTTTTTTTTTAAAAAGATTTCTCTAAAAAAAAAAAAAAAAAAAAAAAAAAATTTTTTTTTTTTTTTTTTTTTTTGCTTTCAGTTTAAAACGATTCTTCCTTCTTTGTAACCTACCGGTAACAAGTAATACCTAAGAGAACGTATGGAGTTGCATTTTCAAGAAAAAGCTCTGTTTATCCCTACTGCTGAGGTTTAACCCCAGCCGACAGCTAGGATCACACTGCCAATCACTCACTTCTTCACCCTCCAGAAAGGTAGGGAGAAGTGGGAGAAGAGGAGGAAAAAGGGGAAAAAAAACCAAAACAAAACAAGAAACTTTTGGCCAGCTGTTCTGTCTATGCTCCCTCTCAGCTTCTGTGGGAAGCTGAAATGAAGCCCTGGATTAATATAAACATCACCTGGCAACAACTAAAAACAATATGCACTACCCACATTCCTTTCCTAACAAATCTGAAAAGCAGCAGCCACCAGAAAGAAAATTAAGTCTGGCCCAGCTGAAATGAGGACACACACTTAATGATTTCCAGTAAACTGAGGGTGGACTTGCACCCTCCCGTTTTATATCCAGAAAACCTAATGCAAAACCTCCTCTGATATTCTACCTGCACAGCGTCGTTCCTGTTCTACAGGGCAAGAAAACTCCCCAAACCTCACAAGACAGCAGAAAGGGTTAACCCTGCTTCCCCTGCTGGTCTTGAAATCCCTCCCTGCAAGAGGGTGATGTTGACACCACCAAAGTTGTTTGCTCAGCCCAGCCAATGTCCCTGTCACCAAACAGAGGGCAACAAACAGCCTGGATATCGACTCAATATTTTTGTATAGATTGGTTGGAGATGGTATCTGGAATGAAAAAAGAAACTTTTGGCCAGCTGTTCTGTCTATGCTCCCTCTCAGCTCCTGTGGGAAGCTGAAATGAAGCCCTGGATTAATATAAACATCACCTGGCAACAACTAAAAACAATATGCACTACCCACATTCCTTTCCTAACAAATCTGAAAAGCAGCAGCCACCAGAAAGAAAATTAAGTCTGGCCCAGCTGAAATGAGGACACACACTTAATGATTTCCAGTAAACTGAGGGTGGACTTGCACCTCCCGTTTTATATCCAGAAAACCTAATGCAAAACCTCCTCCGATATTCTACCTGCACAGCGTCGTTCCTGTTCTACAGGGCAAGAAAACTCCCCAAACTCCCTCCACAAGACAGCAGAAAGGGTTAACCCTGCTTCCCCTGCTGGTCTTGAAATCCCTCCCTGCAAGAGGGTGATGTTGACACCACCAAAGTTGTTTGCTCAGCCCAGCCAATGTCCCTGTCACCAAACAGAGGGCAACAAACAGCCTGGATATCGACTCAATATTTTTGTATAGATTGGTTCAAGATGGTATCTGGAATGAAAAAAAAAAAAAAAACAACACAAAAAACCCCACCAAAACCAAAGCATCCAAGATGCTGCTAACACCGAGGTGTTCAAGCTCCTGCAGTTCACAGCCAACGCTGGACAAGTTTTCACTCCACGTTGGTAAAACCACTGGTAGGAAACGCCGCCTTTTGCGCGTTTCCATGGGGAAGCAGAGAAAGCAAAGCTTCTTCCCCTTGGCGATAAACCCACCCCAGCAACCTGAGGTCTATTTTCTGTATATTGGGGGGAGAAAAAAAAAAATTATTTGTTAAACATAGGATCTATTTAATACAATAGAGATTCTCACTTGAAAGTTCAAGAGTCCTGGAAATAATTGCTACAGGGCTACTGTATTAAAGAAAATTCTTGAAAAGCATGGAATTTTTTCAAGTGTGTTTCCCTCTTCTTTAAGAAAAAAAAAAAAAAAAAAAAAAAAAAAAGATATCTTTTCAGTTTGGTTTTTTTTTCCTTCGGAAGTGCCCCAACTCCTTTTCACATGAAAAAAGCCCGTTGTGTTGGAAGCCACCACTCCACAAGCTTGTCCCAGAGGTTTTCCTTCCCAGGGAAAGGATCCAGAAGTACGGGGAGACAATGCTTCAACTCAAGGCTGTGCCGGAGGAGTTCTCTCTCTCTCTCTCTCCCTCTCCGCTTTCCAAGCTGGGGACACACCACCACCACCACCACCCCATCTCCCCCAGCTTCTCCTCCTCCTCCTCCTCCTCCTCCTCGCAGGCAGCACCAGGCCAACACACCGGCTCCCAGCTGCAGGAATGCGCTCTCCCCCTCTCCTCCAGCCACCCCGCACATTCCCTGGCAGCCTTCCCAACCCGCACCACCCCAACCCCCGCACCCCGGCTGCGCTGCAGGGTGGTGGTGGTGGTGGGGGGGAAGCCCCCGACATGCGCGGAGAACCGCGCAGCGGAGGAAAGACGGCGCAGCGGAGCCGCGCGATGCGGGAAGAACCGCACAGCGCTGGGAAGGACGGCA